TAAATTTATAAATCGTTCAATTAAAACCCAATCCAATATTTATATGTATATATATATTTTTATAACATATGGGGCAAAGGAGCTTGCGGCTCGCCTCATAATAAATGATTATCGCTGTCCATAATCACCCGCAACATCAGAAAAATTGCAGATGTGTTACTGGCCTTTTACCTAGAAATGTGCTCTTTTCTTGAAGGTTTCAATGTCGTATCAGTTCGTTTTAACTTATCAATTGATTTATTATAACAAGAAATTTCAAGAAATTTTTCCATTTAGGTATACTTTTTTTAAATTTTACTTACATTTTATATACACAAATATTTTTATTACTTACATTTATCATAATTATAGTAAATATTTTAAATGTGGAATTGAATTTGTTTGTTTGATATATTAGAAATGCCACCAAACAAGACTATGAATACAAATGGTGTATCATGGAAGTTTTTATTGTCATAATTGAACCACAAGTTATATAATAGCAACTATGTAATGTTATGTACATAAATGTAGATTAATCGTAAAAAACAACTACTTTAAATGACGTGTAACAAATATTTGAATTTAGAACGCGAAATTGTGACTGTAAGTACATTTTGATTCGCAACTGGCAATTTTTTGCATTGCAAAGAAAAATGGCAATTTCAATTATCATAAAATGAATATGGCTCCAACATGACGGTGTACTCTAACGATTACAAAAAATGTTATCCACATCGGTTAAGCTTTGTTAAATATATAACATACACACTAAAAAATATCTACTTCTTTTAAACAAAACACTCATATACCTATCCAAATAGACTAAAAAATATAATATTATTATTTGTTATTAACAGATATGTCGGATATGTTATTAATAACCAGTATAATTGATAGATATACACAGATATTAGTTAATTATATCAACCCGCTACTAAGTATAACGTTTTTAGATATCAAGTGATCAGTTCCGTTAGTTATTTGTAATAAGTTAATTAGACATAAGCCAGACACTAGTTGTTGAAAATTAATATAGTTTAAATTCGTTCAATTATTACATTGTAAATTCACAATCAATTTGTGTCACGAATAAAACTACTATTTTTCTTTACAGAACAAAATCTAATTATATATTATGACATCATACGCTTTGCTCATATTACAGGTATTTCATGTAAGTGGTATTTGTGTAAACAAAATACATGTTGTATAACGCATTATCAAATTGTCACATTGTTTTTACCGTAACTGCGGTTCATTGTTACGCATTTATTACGTTATAATACATAGGGTAACTTCTCAGCAATCTATATAAACCAGGAAGACAGTTGCAAAAACCACATGGCAACCGCAGTGAGTGCCTGCAGCTCTAATTTGAAGTCTGCGATTAGATAGGACCAATTTATAACGCAACATAAGTAATCTAATAAATAACTAATTGACTAGCCCTACGGGAAACACGGTAGCAAGCTTTAGTAAGTAGTATTATGTTATGGGAGTAATATTTCACTTTTGTATGACTATTTATGCAAGGTTGTTAACTATAACTACATATTACATATCACATAAAACTTATTAGTGTATTATTTATGATATGATGAAGACGATGTACAAGAGAAATCTCTCATAATCAAACACATTTACAAGAGGGAGACTTAATACAAAAATCGTTTACTTGAGTAACTCTGTCACATTCTTAATTCTGTCATGAAACAGTTAAGCTATGTTTGTAGGGCTGTGTTTCGGTTTGAAAGGAATAAATATTGAAGGGATGACAATAAATTTACTGAGTACAAAGTGCCTGTGTCTTTTTTTCTTAGGGAATAATAAATAATAATAATAATAATTCGTTTCCCAAACTGTTCGAAACCAATTACACTTTGCTAACGGGATACTAAGCGTAACCTAACATCTTAGTCCTTAGGAATGACAACTCATAAAAAGCATCACAGTATACTATGATATCTATATAATACTGTTCATGTTTATAGGCGATGGATACAACATTCTATCACATAGGCCGTCAACTTTTTTGCCATTTTAAGTTGCATAAAAAATGCAATTATTAACTTAAAGGTTGCATTTTATTAACATTTCAATTCTATATTAAATGATATTGATGGCATGATCTACCCTATGATATGCAATAGTATTTTATTACAAAAAATGCGTGCTATATTAAAAACCTTACGAAATATACGAGTTAAAAATAAAATAGTAAATGAAGTCTGTTATTTATTTATTAAACTCGGTTATTACTTACTCGTTATTAAATTAAAGCATAACCGGAAATTATGAAAACATAAACTAAAAATTCTACGCCTGCTAAAAAAATTTACAACTAAATTACAGCTAATCGAACGTTATTATTCTCATATCAAATTATGATCAGTTGCCGAAGTTAATAGTGTTTACCAATAAGGAAATAAAAGTACACATTATCAAGGTCCTGTCTTAAGTCGAACTATGATTTTAATTTCTTATGGTTACTGTATAAATTGAAACATGTTTATGAAAATAAACCTTTATTCAGATCAACTCAACACTGCCTTTAAAAACAAACATTAAATTTTGAAAACTGAATAAAACAAAATTACTTATTCTTGCTTATTTTCTGAAGATCTGTTTGCCAATCGGTGAAGGACTCCTTCAGCCGTTTCCACTCTCGTTTTTCCTGGGCTACTCTGTCCCATGTTATTCCAGCCCCTTACCTGACGTCATCATTCCATATTATGCAGGGTTTGCCTCTTTTACTTTTGCCTTCCCTGGGATACTATTTTGTCACTTTCTTACTCCATTTGTCATCTCCTCTCATCATGTGTCCTGTCCATCTTCATTTGAGTATTCTATTCTTATTATTATTCTCAATTTCGTGTATAATATAGTGTATTTTATGTAATTTTAGTATATATGTATATCAATAATTACTAGAACCGCATTCGAGTATTCTGACACTTCCCTAAATTTGACTGGGAGATATTACTATTAGCATTAGGTCCGCTATGTACACATATATGTACTAATAAATAAATAAAACATGGTACAATTCTCGATCACATCTGACTACATAATGTTCAATTAAAGTTACGAAGTGAAAACATGTAACAAACAAGATTAAAGAGACGAGGAAGTAAAAGTCCTTTTAATTGTAAGAATAATTCTGTTTACGAGGTCTGTCCGGAAAGTTCGTATAAAAGTGTTCTGGAATGCGAGAAAGAGGAGTGGGGAGGCCAAAGCGCAGGACCCCTTCCTTATGTCCCTAACAATGCTTCATTTCTGGTCTGACCGCCGTGCGGTGCGAACTGGCTTGTCACGCCATCTGTGAAGTTACCTCTTAACGAAACCCCGTCGGCATGGAGCCCGCTTCCGTTGAAGAGCAGCGCGTCGTAATAAGAATGGCCGTGAAAGCAAAGAGTGGAAGACATCCGGGGAACCACGAACAAAAAAATCAAGAAAATCCCGCTCAAATGTCAAGACAATGTTGATTGTTTTTTTCGATTTCGGGGGATTGTCCATCAAGAATTCGTCCCTCCAGGCCAGACAGTTGATGGAAAATTCTACGTCGATGTGCTCAATGTGTGGCACGAGTTCGTCCAGAATTGGCGCGAGAGGGGCGTTGGATTCTTCACCACGACAATGCCCCTGCCCACACCTCTCTTGTTGTCCGTGAGTTTTTGAGTAAAAATTCCATTACGGTGACCGAACACCCCCCTATTCGCCGGATTTGGCCCCGTGTGACTTCTTCTTGTTCCCAAAAACCAAATTGGTACTTCGGGGGCGGCATTTGGGGGACATAAATGAGATAAAAAAAGCTACGACGGGGCAGCTGAGAAACCTACAACCAGAGGACTTTCAAGGAGCCTTCTCACAGTGGAAACGGCGTTGGCACAAGTGCATTATGTCACAGGGGGAGTACTTTGAAGGGGATAAAATTGATTTACCTGAATAATTGTAAAATAAAATTTTTAAAAAACTTTTATACGTACTTTCCGGACAAACCTCGTATTACAAAGATTTCGTGACCAATTTAGTGATAATTGAACTCGAGTATTTATTATTATATCAACCGTTAAATGTTTACTGTTGATCATGGGTCTCCCCCATAAGAGTATTTTTGCCAGTCGTTGCCACGCTTGGCAGGCGATTAACAACCGCAGTTAAGCTTTGATGATATTTTAAGAAGGACGCTGCTGCCCACTTCTCTACCATTGAGTTCCCTCATTCGTTTATTACGACATCCAGTGAGAAAGGATGGGGTGGCCTGTTCTATACTGAGTCCACACGGCAAACATGGAGTTGGAATAGCTAAAAAAATTTTCAATAAATTTAAGTATCATCTAAGTAACACAAATATAATCGGATTCTAAATAAACTCCCTATTATTTATTTAAACTCAGTAACCGCTAAATGTATTAAGTAAACATATCATTAGTATTCATTACCGACTACTAATAAATACTTAATGTTAAAGCAGTCGAGAAGTCAAGATCAGAGATAGCTTGTAACAAATGAATATTTAAATTGTTTCAAAGTATATGCTTGCTTATCTATCAGAATTCAATGTTATCTTCAATAATTGATTTAAGTTATTCTTTCTCGCCATTTTTCTTGAAGAAATTCAAAGTGAGACATCGTAAACAAATATTCCCGATTAATTTTATAATTTAGTGAAAAAAACATCTTTTAACTATTTTCTTATTTTAATTTTACTGAACTGTGAAAAATATAAACAAACAAATAAATATTATGATAAATAAACTGATTAAAATATTTGAAATACTCATATAAAATGCGGGACTAAAAAATTATGATAGACAAATGAGCAGCAACTATTCGGATATATAACGAAGCTTTGATCTGTAAATAGGTCAATAATAATCCTCTCACAATAAATAAAATATTGCCAACAAAACTGAAACAAATTCACACGTGAAAATGCATGATTTTTATTATTTAATAATGATTTAAACTAAATTTTGGCTAACTTTTGCCTAACTTTATGCATATTTTGTTTACAGATGGGTTAAGCGAAGCAGATGACCAGTCAACATCCGCTTCATGGTGGTCGGCAGGCACAGCGACGCCATTCCGGGAAAGCGCTAGCAACGCTTTCTCTTCCACTCACGGAATCGTTCAGACTCACCCGTCCCTGGACGATCCATTCGGATCATTCGGGTCAATTGGGAGTACAGCTGGACCTTCCTCGAATCCATTCGCTCAAACTAGCGGCAGCGGTCCGCTAAGCGGAGGCATTCGAAACAACCCTTTGCCCCCGTTGGCTAGAAGTGCCAATGGAAAACCTTCCCTGAAGCACTTGGATTTCACAAGTAGCGCCACAGCAGAGTTAAGAAGGAATCCTGCCTTGTCTGCGCCCGATGAGTGCGCCAGAGCTTGCAGAGAAAATGAACCGCCGAGGATATGTTACTATCACTTCACTCTTGAACTGTACACCGTATTGGGAGCGTAAGTATATTTTTTAAATTGTTTGTTAAGTAACTTCATCATAATTCTTAAATTATGATATAGTATTATGTAGATTCTAATAGCATACAAAGGCATCATGATTCACATTCCCATATAAAACTCCGTGTTTATATATATATATAATTATGACTCTATAATTAATTCGGTATGCGAGTAGTGGGCTCTGTTTTCTGTCGCATTTTTTAGTTCCTGATTGCATGTCTAGATTTTTAGTATATCAACAATAGACTTGTCTCTTTAGCACGCCAATGGAATAAAAACTTGAACCGTTAGAATATTTTTCACCTCCGATTTGCAGCTATGACAATAGAGTGGAGATCGAAAACAACAAAATATGATATAATGTTAACAAACTTACACAGCAGGTGTTAGTTGGACTGTTTTTTTTTTGTATGTTGCATAATATGACTTTAGCTAATTTCAATTATTCTTTTTACAATCAACAGGATGACATCCTTGTGTTGATTTCATACAAATTGTCACCATAGCAGTCGGTTTTTCTGCTTAAAGTTTATATCCTCTCGTAATCAATCTAAAAACATTTATTAAAAATGTTAACAATTTCTAAACGTTTATTATCTTATAATTAAAATTTAAGTAAAAGTATCATTTACGTTTCGTTTAATAGATTACACAATTTTGATATGGATCGTTACTCCCTATAGTCTTTATAAAATAAAAAATAAAACACTGAACGAATTAGAGGAAGTGAACGTCATCTTTACGTAATACTCAAAAGAATATGTTGTCAAAAAATGCAAGTGAGCAAAATTATAAATTTTTAACGTACTTAATATATTGTTCGCATAATTGAAAAAAAAAACAGGCCTTGCAAAATTGCGAAATTAATAAGAACAGAATTTAGAGAATTGTGTAATAAAATCGTTTTTAGCATTTACCTTAATTATCTAGATCAGTGTTTTTCAACCTTTTTCATGACACGAATATATATATATATAGTATGAAAAAATATTTCGCGATCCCCGACCCTTCGCTTTTTTTTCATGCATTTTATGTTACAAAGACGTTGCACGGACTGAATACTTCAATCCATACGACATTTTTATGCATTTACATAATTAGGTTTCGGTACATAATTATGTGTCAAGGGTGTCCTTCTCTAGAAATCTGTCCGATTCTAGAATAAAGGCATACGTTTATGCGACCCCGGCCTCCCGAGCCACTGCAACGTCCCAGTCTATTCCGAAACTGCAGTGTCCCCCCCTTTCCTTTCCCACTTAAGTCCCTTATTCCTCTTATTTACCAATTTCTTTTACTCATTTCCAACGCTCTCTTCCTTTTTTCCTCAATTCTTTCTTCCATATCGTAAGTGACGGAAACCACCAACAAATGCATTCCTAAAGAAGGTTGACGTCAAATATTTTTGTAATATGGATAAAAATAAAAAAAAAATTGACCCAAGAAAATAATTTTTCAGAATTTAATTGTTTTACATCAAGAAAAATCTTGAATCAAGTAAATTTTATTGAATCAAAAAAAATTAAACATACACGATTATTAATTATACTCTAAACGATTACTTGAGTGATAAATGTGCATGGTGTTAGACGATCATGCACTGGCTTTTAAAAACCATGTAATTTTAGACATAAATAAATAAATGCACATAATATTAACAGAAATTTAAAAGAGTAACTGTAGAGTTTCTTGCGGGCTCTTCTCAACAGATAAGAACCTTCCGAAACCTGCAGTAGATTAAAAATAAATGACGATTTAAAAGTGCTTGTAAACAAGTCTATTTGAATAAAGATGATTTGAATTTAAATTTATTAACATACAAATGTTTTAATTATTAATGTTTTAATTATTATTACTCTTAATAAATCTCTCTTTATAACTTTGTTTTTTTTTTACTGAGTAAATTTTCGCGACCCCCATATAAAAGCTTCGCGACCCCCCAGGGGGTCGCGACCCATACGTTGATAAACACTGATCTAAACGTATAAAAAAATTAAAAAAAAAAATTTGGTATGAAGAATATGCAACCCGTTTGTTGATTTGATAACATTTGCTAGAAAGTAACTGGGTTTTTTTTTATATATTTATCGGTATCAATATTTAAAACAGACGTATAGTATAAATAATTGGACAATACCATGAATATTCATTTATTTTATTGTGTTTGTACTTGTGATTATGATAGACAGTTACATAGAATAATTTTCCTCATTTATTAATATGAGGATGTGTGGCCTCTTAAATAACGCAGTAATTACTATGTGATTAAAATCTGTTATAGAATTTTATGAAAACATTGTTGAAATAATTAAGATGTATTTAATTAATTAAGTCATATTTTACGGTGCATATTTACCTGTACAAAACTATTTATAAATTCATTACAGATATTTTTGGATATAGGTATTAATTGAAAACATTAAAAATAAAGGCAACTATAATTTCACCCTGAAAAGTGTAATAATTATAATAGCCTTACAGAGTGCTCTTGATCTTGAGCTGATCATGTTTTATAAAATATTATTGTGAAATTATTTCCTACAATCAAGAAAACAATACTAAATCTTATTTTACTTGAGCATTATTAATTACTAGCTGTATTTCCCGGTTTGCCTGTTCTTTGTTAATGAATAAGCAGGTACCAACATTTCATAATGATCTAGAACGAGGTCTATCTGCATATCAAATTTAATTCAAATTCCTTCAGCTATTTAAACATGATTGAGTAATAAATTCTCGTTTTGTATCCTACAAATTCGTGTCCGATTTTATAAGACATTAATGAGTTACTATGACGATTAGGGGAGGTGCATTGTGTAGTAATCGTTTTAATACCTAAACATAGGGGGGAAAGGGATTGTTAGCAATGGAGTTTGATAGCCCCATTGCTAGCAATATGCCCTGTTAGGTCGACCTCCACGTGGCTCCCCCTGGAAACCATCGTGAACAATTCTTGTTGAATTCGTCACGATGGGCTAACTAACCTGCTTCATCCTCATCTATCATTCTTCACTGATGCCCCGCCGGTGTATACCGATAGCGCAGGTGAGGATACCATTCCATTTACACCCATTAAAAAAAATACCTAAACATACAACTATCTTTGTAAACTTTTATTATTAGTCAAATATTTATATCCAATTTAAACCTTTTCTTCTTGCTCTTTTTAAAAGATTGTTCTATGAATAAAAGAAAACTATTTCTCATAGAAACAATAGTAAAAAATTATGAAATATTTGGACCTCCTAACTTGACGACTTAACATGTCGTATATTCTTTAAAAAAAAGCATTTAAATTAATTGCTAATACTCTCTTTTTTTCACCCTGATAATATATATGTAGATATTTATAATGTGTAGATATATGTTAGTTATTTGTACAGTCCAATCTTAGTTTCTTTGTTGCTAAAACTATCGGAAAAATCCATAGTTAATAAAAACAATGTTGATTAAACATTGATTAATTTCCGTTACAGAAAAACGATATTAAAGCGAGTATCCTTTGGAAAAACTCACAATGAAACTATACAAAGCATTATTGTTTTTACTTAAAAGGAAATGAATTATTACACTGGCGGACAAAGGCCAACGCCTTCAGAACTCCTCGTAGTGACATTGCGTGAAAAAATTGCCTACTTCAGCCACCTAACTACTACAATATAGTTTTTCCTTCCGTTCACCGCATTTTATATTATAGTTCATTTTGCAAGTTTAGCCTTGTCATAGGTTTTGTACATACCCACGAGTTCGTTCACGTCGACGTAAATATTTTAATAACGTGCACAATTATTTTATTTATACTAATATTTTCATAACTTATTTCTTTTTAAAATAATTTGTCTTTATATTTTATATTGTCGTACAAACTTCATACTGTTCTATAATAACTAAATGGTCAAGTGTCAACTTGTGGCGTTTTAAACGAGAATTTTCTTAGAAATCGTAAATTTAATAATAATCATGACTAAATTCATATCAGAGAACTTTAACGATGAAGAACACACGCAACAGTAAACCTCATTAATTATAAAAAAAAAATTAAGGAAATGGATTCAGAGAGTTAATTTGAATTACGATTGGCGCAATAGGTATTCTTTATGAATTCCCAAATAGAACAAAGTAACAAAGAAATTATGATAACAAAGCATACAACCTGCTTGATTTATATTGGTAGGGATCAATATTAAAGTGATCTTGTAATTACAAACTCTTAAGACCTTCTTCTACTAATAGTGTTACCACACAAACTTAAGTGGCTTTCCCAGTAATCTAAGTGTAGTGACCGACTGCTCTAATAGAACAAATACAAGCCAAATTGAAACGGAGTGGGTCATAATGCTTAATTTCTGTGTAAGGGACAATAAAAAATACCTTCAAATTATATTGGGAAATGCAACTTAAGTAATTCTTAGCTAACAGTCCCGTGTTATCTGCAAGTCATCTAAACCACGAATTCCATATTCTTCTAAAAATATATAACCTCACGCAAAGTCGTGATACTATTAGAAACGAACGACCCACCGACCGACTTTTTTATTCACACATTTTACGCTTTGTTTCACACGGGCTGCTAAACACAAAACTCAATGCCGTACACGACTATATGGCAAGTGATCCAAATTCCTTAGGGGCACGTAATTGATAGGTGGCGGCAGGCCTTATGCAAATATTACCTTTTCATGATAGCGAATTCTTAGGAAATTATGGTGCAATCAAAAGAAACTGATAAACACAACTAGTTGTCATATTGCTCCAACTTATGACATAATCGTAATTGACCTACATAGTCTTTACCTGCACATTTATTGCCTATTTCAGGGCTTGTCAAGTGTGTACGCCAAATGCAACCAACGTCGTGTGGTCTCACTGCCAGTGCGTCTTGGCCGATGGTGTCGAACGAGGTATCCTTACTGCAAACAGAATGTTGCCTGGACCCTCCATCCAGGTCTGCGAGAACGATAAAGTTGTTATCGATGTCGAGAACCATATGGAGGGTATGGAGGTAACAATTCACTGGCATGGAATCTGGCAGAGAGGATCCCAATATTACGATGGTGTTCCATTCGTTACGCAGTGTCCTATCCAACAAGGAAATACTTTCAGGTACTTAGTATTATTACATATATTTTTTTTAATTTCTTTAGCTGCACTAACTCAAACACATTGTGATAAATTAATTGAATGGTGACGTTACTCTTAATAACTAAATTAAAAACAAAATCTTTATTTTAATATACAATTATTTCAGCCACCAAACAGCCATATTTCAATTTCAAGTGTGAAATATGACAATTTAATTTCATAGTACAGAGGAATTACATATTAGTCTTTAAGAATGGCAATCCAATGAATATAATAGACATTACAGTCATCACATTTCATTTTTACATTTCAGATATCAATGGCAAGGTAACGCGGGCACCCACTTCTGGCACGCTCATACTGGTCTACAGAAACTTGACGGATTATATGGTAGCATCGTCGTTCGTCAGCCTCCATCCAAAGATCCGAATAGCCACTTATACGACTATGATTTAACCACTCACGTCATACTACTCAGCGACTGGCTCCACGAGGATGCAGCTGAGAGATATCCTGGTCGGCTCGCCGTTAACACTGGCCAAGACCCCGAATCTGTATTGATCAACGGAAAGGGACAATTCAGAGATCCTAACACAGGCTTTATGACTAACACCCCATTGGAAGTATTCACGATCACGCCAGGAAGGAGATACAGGTTCAGAATGATCAGTGCTTTCGCTTCAGTATGTCCAGCTCAACTAACAGTCGAAGGCCACAACCTGACTATAATAGCTACAGATGGAGAACCAGTGCAGCCAGTTCAAGTGAACACAATCATATCTTTCTCAGGTTAGTACTATAATGCATATAAGTTGTAGTTAAAATAACGTAGTTATTGTCATCAACTTGAAATTTTATTTATTTATTTAAACTTTAATACACAGTAAAATTCTATGTATACTTGGCGGACTTAACACCGCTCGGAGTTCTCTACCAATTAACCAATAGGCAAACCGAAAAATAAGTAGGCGGTGCATTATTGAATAGAGGAAAAGTAAAGCAATACTTGATTACATGCACAATAAAAACTATTATAAACATACAATTGGACTAATATAGACATACATATAATATATTAACTAAATAAATATATACATACATAAATAAATACGTAAAATATTACTATATATATCAAACAATTAACTGTAATAAAAGAGCAAATAACAATCTATGACTCAGAGTAACCAGCAAGATTTAAAGTGATTTTTTTTTAAATAAGAGCGTACTTTATATTTAAAAGCTAGTTTGCTTCGAGCAGATCTTATATCAAGCGGGAGTGCGTTCCAGTGATTAATAGCCATAACAGTGAAAGAATAGGAAATGAAACCAGTACGACTTTAAAATATTGAAACAATCTTTGTTTAATCTATACAAAAAAATTTGTATGGTTAAATATTTATAATAAAAAGATCGTATTTACTGCTTACAGTTTCTATAGGCACCTACATATCAATTAACTCAAATATCTTTTTTATACAAATGCTCTAAAGTGTACCTTTATATATCATGACAGGTGAACGATACGACTTTGTTATCGAAGCCAATAATATTCCTGGTGCTTATTGGATCCAAGTCCGAGGCCTTGGAGAGTGTGGTACAAAAAGAGCACAGCAATTGGCTATCCTTAGGTACGCAAGAGGACCCTATCAGCCATCTAGCCCAGCGCCTACATATGATGTCGGCCTTCCACAGGGAGTGGTAAGTTTGTTGAGCCAGTGTACATATAACAAAAATACTGTAAAATATAGTTTAGGTAAGGGCAAATTAAAACTTCTATAACATTATTGTAAATAAATTCCTTTAGAAATTGCTACTAGTCGCCCATAATTTACATTCTGTAAGATCAATTAGTTGACAACATGAAGTTTTCGTCATAACCGTTAATACCTACTTGACTAAGAAATTAATCGGCGGATATTGCACAGTGGATACTCCAAGCCAACACAACCTCAATAAAATCTTGCAAAGTCGAGTTCGGTACAATTTGTTTGGTTAAACTTCAATAATTAGTTTCATATATATAGCGAACGATCTCTTCTAAATAAACACAAAACATGTTTATACAGTTTTATTGTACAGTCATCTTCTACATATTTCTTAAATCTTGACTGTGTAAATACTTATTTTCATTAGAGTAGTAACAAAGTATTATTGTAGTATCCTTTATAGTGTATCTATATAATACTTACCACTACTATAGCTATCACCATAGAATTAATTATTATAAATATTTTGAATCGGTAATACTGTAAGCACTTATTCAAGATCAAGTAGTACAAAATTGAATTAGAGACTAGTCATTGATACCAAATCAGTAGAAAACATGTAGATCATGCACGTATTTACTAGTAACTGCACGTACCTTTCTCCTCACTAACTATTCAGGTGATGAATCCATTGGATGCAAGATGTAATGTTCCAAGAAACGATGCTGTATGTGTAAGTCAACTGAGAAATGCAAGAAACATTGATCCCGCCATTCTTCAGGAAAGGCCTGATGTTAAAATCTTTTTGCCTTTCCGCTTCTTCTTATACAGACCAGAAATGTTGTTCCAACCGAATACTTACAACAGATATTTAGGTAAGTTTTTGTATCTAAATAAACCAGATTAGTATTACATATTATAATGGTATTAATATAATCTTTAATTTCCACAGTTGCCCCCCAGGGAGATCATGTAATCAGTTTGATCGATGAAATTTCTTACATGGCACCACCAGCCCCATTAATTAGTCAGTATGATGATATCAATCCTGAGCAATTTTGCAATGGCGACAACCGACCAGCTGACTGTGGGCAAAACTGTATGTGTACCCACAAAGTGGACATACCACTCAACGCTGTGGTAGAAATTGTACTTGTAGATGAAGGTACGTATAGTTATAATTTAGTCAAACCAGATGATACATTATTGAATTATAATTTCAACATATCTCTGATTCAATTTCTAATCACGTCTTTTGATTTTTCAGTTCAAATTGCAAACTTATCTCATCCATTCCACTTGCACGGATACGCTTACAACGTTATTGGTATCGGTCGATCACCTGATACAAACGTCAAGAAGATCAACTTGAAGCACGCTCTAGATCTCGACAGGCGTGGTCTCCTCGAACGTCACCTAAAACAAGGCGATCTCCCACCAGCTAAAGATACTATTGCCGTACCAAACAACGGCTACGTCATCCTCCGTTTCAGAGCCAACAACCCTGGCTTCTGGCTTCTTCACTGTCACTTCCTCTTCCACATAGTAATCGGTATGAACGTGGTGCTACAAGTAGGAACCCAGGCTGATCTTCCCCCTGTGCCTCCGAACTTCCCCACGTGCGGCGACCACCTCCCACCAATCTCGCTCCACTAAATCGGTTCCTATAACAGATTCCAATTCTTGTATTTGCAGGAATAAATACATCAGTTGATTAATTATGTTAACTAAGTGTAAATTTATGTTTGTTATGTGTGATGTGTTCGGCTGATTCGAAGTGCTCGGTTCGGCCGTATGTGTTTATTTTGTATTCGAATGATTCCACGAGAGTTCTGACGGTCTTGTGATTTTATTTAAAGGTGATACCTTTTTCTTTGAGATTACTTCAACATCATTTTATGCCATACTCGGTGATAATTTTGTAATTGCTTTAATTATGTTGCCTTAAAATATAAATATGTCGTCTGAGGCTCTTGTATCTGTAATTTCTTCATTTACAGTAAGGTACCCTTTCTACCGATACGAACATGTTTGTTCTGTAACTAACAACTTGCCATTTTATAGTTCACCAAGGATATTTATTACGTGTATATATTTAATTTTTTGTTAGAATTATTTGCTTTAACATTTTAAGTTTTTTACCCGTTACTAACCTTATACGTACTGCATGAAACAAACTCATAGTAGATGTATATAAATAGCCTGCAATACTTGTAAATACACAACATAGTTCGCAAAAACAAGAAATTCCGTAAACATTGAAGACTGTAAATAAATATTTATAGATAGCTGTACCGAAAACGTTACCATTTCCATGTTACCATTATTTTAAGGGAAATAAAACATATTATTATTTGAATGTAATTGAATTTAAATGTAATGAAATTGAATTTGTGCCAACTGACATTCACGAAATGTATTGGTATACACTAGTCTCGAGAATAGTACGAGTACGAAATTCAATGTTTTGTATAAAATTATATAACTCGATATATTGCTGTTAGTGCCGTACTTTAGCAGTGAATAATCATAACATTCTACTCTAGTTTAAGAAAATTGTAAATTTTTATACCATTTAATAAAATTTATAAAAATAATGTTATTATTTATTTTCATGCATCAACGACCTACAATATAGAGATACTGTACATGAATAATTATATTTCAGTGCGCTACGTTGTACCTTATAAAAAGCCTTTTTTTAGATTACTGTACCTATTGTAAATAAGGGTTCACTATTTACTTATTAATACATAGCTGGATATTAATAAAAAACTACACTAATAATTAATATCTTCACATTACATTATTTAGATAGAATTCTTCCTCTGTACTGTTAATTTAAAGGGAATAGAGGAATGATGGAATTCACCACCTTACACGGATTCAGGTTGTACAATTATATCTTTAATTTACTGCTTGTAAATATTGTTCAAAGCTTGCTCTTATATTATATTTTTAAATATCGCGTAATTATTAAACTTCATATATTATATCTATCAGATCATGAATCCGCTGGATGCAATTTGTGACAGAAAGAGGAACGACGCAGTATGCGTGAGTAATCTGAAGTCAGCAAAACCAGTGGATAAAGCAGTTTTGCAGGAAAGACCAGACGTTAAAATATTCCTTCCGTTCCGATTCCATTTCTATAAACCAAAGGATCTGTTCAAGGAGAATACATACAGGAATTTCTTAGGTAACTTTATAATTAAATTCTATAATATCTAAGACTTAAGAAATGTATATATCTAAAAAGAGATTTCGACAGTTAAAAAAGCATGTCATCAGTAATGACTATGCGATATTATAATTACGTATATAATATAATTGAAAATATTACATAGCAACTCTTATTTGAAGAATGAACTAATTTACTATTATAGTTAAAATTTAAGTCATCTTGAATGCAAAATTGGTTTTAATTAAATATCGTTTTCTTACAATCAGTGGAAAATAGGAGAATTAGAAATCCATTCCTAATTTTTATACATTCTTTTTGTGTCACATTAAATTCAGATCACTGCACTATCTACTTTCTGTTTTGATTTTTACCTGAGGAAACTCTATATTTTTTAATTCGTTAATAACTTACTCGTTTATTTTGAAATTTCGATTGAAAACAACCATTTTACATTGCCAACTGGATGAAAAACTATTAAGTCGATTACAATAAACCTAATTTATGTTTTAGTGGCTCCTGGTGGTGATCACGTAATCAGTTTAGTGGATGAAATTTCATACATGGCGCCGCCCGCGCCGCCGCTCTCCCAAATGCACGAGTTGTCACCGGAACTTTTCTGCAACGGTGACAACCGTCCAGCCAACTGTGCTGTCGACTGCCGCTGCACTCATATGATCGATGTACCACTGAACTCTATTGTGGAGATTGTACTTGTTGATGAAGGTAAAAAAAATGTTATTTTATCATCTGAAGTTTATTTATACTAGATACAATATTTCATAGACTATATTTACAACAGATATAAAAAATAAAGATTACAATCAATATCTTTGAAATTGTTTATTTCTCACGCTAACTAAACATGAAGACACATAGCGTTATACATCTGTAATGGGAAATTTATAAACTTACTATATATAGATTTATTACAAAAAACCAGTAAACTTTCGATCTAAACTAGATTGAATGTAGTTTAAGTTTAATCCAAACCCAAAGATAATGCTTAGTATAAATATGACTAAATATATACCAATTACAACATCCGAACTGAGAGAAGATTTTACTTTTAGTTATTTCGTTCTTAAGTTAGGAGAATTCAACTCAGAAACCATTTTTTATAACATATCCTTTTATCACTGCCAGTATTACAACTAGTGAAATAAAAACAATGATCCGTCATTTTATGAAAGTCTAGTTTGATAGGTATGATTAAATGTTTTGATTTTTAAATAGAAAGTCATTGATAAATTGCAGCACTCGCAGGAACAATACTAATTTAATAACAAAAACTGTTATAACACCCGCATTATATAGTTCGTCAAACCAATTAAATTAAACAATTGTGCATCCGTTAACAAATGAATGAAAAAATCCGAAATCCATAAATAGTTTACGTAAAATTTTCCTAAGAAAGTTGAAAATAAAAAAAAATATTATCTTTCATATAAACTAGTGTATTATGTATCTAATGTAATATCATAGAATCAATTTTCGAGCCATATTCTTGAGTGAAAGTTATTCACTATTATATTATAAATAATATCGTTGAATTTTAAATGTTATAACTTTCTATTAATATTTTATTTTAATTATTCTATTACTGTTACATTTTAAAGTAAATTACTTTTCATCAAATACGTATATTTATTTTAATTTTCCATACACATATTGTAATCCAAATTTGTTATTACAATCCACAGTACAATCGCCGAATCTATCCCATCCGTTCCATCTTCACGGAGCATCGTATAACGTCATTGGTATGGGACGTTCCCCAGACAAGAACATCAAGAAAATCAACTTAAAACATGCATTGGATCTTGACAGGAAAGGATTGCTGCATAGGCAATACAATTTACCCCCTTACAAGGATACATTGGCAGTGCCTAACAACGGATACGTTGTTCTAAGGCTGAAAGCTGATAATCCAGGTAAAAATAATAATATACCATAAGTTATCAATAAGAATGCTAGGCAAAGTAGTACCTAATATACTCGTGGTAGTAATTCTAATAATAATAACATTCATAGCAATTTTACCCTAAAAAAAGGAGTTAAGAAGTAATGTAACTGGATAAGGTATAAAGTAAGTAGAGACTTTTATATGATATACTTTAACATCATATTTATGGAATTTACATACGATTTTTAATGATTTTTTGATCTCAACTAATTTTAAAAATTAAGATTATAATATATTACACATATATCATTAAAACAGATTCCAAAATCTCATATATTAAATCTGTATAATATACATATATTACCTCATTGCTCTTGAAAAAGCACTTTCATTTTCAATAAAATATGAGGAAATAGAAATTCCTGAATTAGTCTCGTGTTAGGTAAGATCTGTTGATGAAATTCTTTAATATACTGTCACCATCAAACTAATACAACTAAACATTGCAACTAAAACTTTAGTCATAGTAATTGAAATTTTGCTTATAGACAAACAAATGACGAGCAAAGCCTGTTAAATATATTCTAAAATTATAATATTTAATTAAAATATTGTGATTAAAGGCTAATTATAAATAAATTAGTCTACATTAATAAAAAGTCATAAAATGCCTTAATATGCCTTAATATACCAAGTTATGTTTAAAAGCCATAAGGCCGTATTTCGTAATGCACAATCTTTTAAAAATGTTTTCATTTTATTATGTTTAGTGCGTAATAAAGAATTATTATAATTATTATTATTAGTATGCCCTTAAGCTGAGAGCATATTATAAAACTAAATATTATAATAATGAACGTTTCACTAATACTAACACTTACCACTTTCTCTTAAATTGCAGGTTATTGGCTAATGCATTGCCACTTCATCTACCACATAGTGATTGGCATGAATCTTATACTTCATATAGGAACTCAACGAGATCTACCACCAGTCCCGCCAAATTTCCCGCGATGTGGGAACCATTTGCCAGCGATAACACCGATCTTCCCCTCGATACATCATTGACGAACGTCGAGAGGTTGATGAGCTCACTTGATCTCTCGACTTAAAGCCGAATCATTCCCACTAGTTCCTTTAGTTAGCAAGAACTGTTCACCGGCTAGTAAAGAATGTGTATATTTAATCCATTGCTCATTTTTTCCTCGAGAAATGCAAGAACGATACAAAATTTTTCCGTTTATTATATCGCTTATATCAATTTATAAATGTAAAATGCAATATTATTTAAAATTGTAAGAATACCACATTATTAGACGATTTTTCATACAATAATATATATGTTACGTGAGATAGTTCCATGATTTATACGGATGGAACTAGTTGAATGATGTTAGATCAAATACGAATAGAATTTTAAACTCGTACTGCCATATTTTGTTCTACCGTTTGAAATATGAAATGACGTACGAACGAAAACGAATGTATATCGTGTATATAAAAGGTGCTGTTTTTTTTATCAAATAGCCATCTTAGTTTTAAGAAGCCAAAGTTTTTTTATAAAACCTAATATACGTATACATAGTAGTATTTATATGTATACATTTTATTTAAATGTAAATTTTATTATACTTGTAAAAGAAGTTATATAAAACTGTAAAACTATAATTCTTATCTATTTCTACGAAATATCTTCCGTATGTATTTTATATATAGTAATTTCACTATATATAATAAAAAAGTACATTTAAAAAAAATTTATAAAAATCAAAACTTGAAACGTCAATAAAAAGTTAATACAAAATTTACATTACAAGTATTATCCATTCTATTTTTGTTATTGCTTGTATTAAATATGAATAATAATATAATTTACAGGAACGTTTAACAGCAAACATGCTTTGTATTTATCATTTTTTTTTTTTATTTTCAGAAACATATATAAAATATCAAATTGCTTTTTCAATACATTATTAGTTACTTACTTATTTTTTTATCTCGAATTATGTCTTAATTATTATCGAAGAGATAGTTAAAGGCATAGTTTGAATTTTTATTACATTTTATGCTAATATCTTTATACTCAAGTGTTAATATATTTTTTTACTATTATACAAATATTTTTATATGACTTTTAAAAGTATTTACATACGTCGGTTTATTGACTGATAATATTTATAGTTATTACTTTCTATATTTAATCTACAAAGGAGAAAAGTCAAGCCTTATTGTAAATATCGACACAGCGTACATTTTGTATAAAAATATACGCCTGTGATACACGTGTGTCAGTTCTTGCAGTGTTGTAATTTTCGTCTACGATATCACTCACTTAGACTTTTCTTACATCTTCAATTTCATTTCTGATTCCTTTCTTTTTTTTTTTTTCAATATACATATTTAAGTTTCATTCTTAATTTGATTACTTCTCTTACTTTATACCTAATTTCATTATATTTTTTTATTGTGTCTAATCAATAAACTATAATACTACCCAGTATTGTATTGACAATATACTTTGTATCTGACAATTCTTCTTTATTGGTCTTTTCTTCCTTTATGTCTTGTTAAAATATTTGATCTTTTTTCTCGAGCATTAATACTCTTGCAATGGCAAATTTCCTTTAGCAACACACGTTTACCAGATTTGATAATTATAATGTAAATATATATATTAAGCATTATGTCTCTGTTTCTTGGGTAAACATTTAAAACTGAATTTTATGATACTCCATTTATTTTTAATTACATAGAGTTAAGTCCAATATAACAAATATCAATGCGTAGTGTTGATTATTTTATACATGTGATTTGATAATAAAATACGCAATAAATTACATAAATACTATTGTAATTGTAATAGTCATAGTAGAATAAATTTTATATAAAAAATATTTATTTTTATTTTCACCTATGTGTTCCATATTAGATGATGCCAGCAATTATCCACATAAATATCTCTTTCCAACTCATGATTTTTCCGTCAAATAGTATGCTACATGTCTGTGTTTTGGTTTTAAGAATATGATAATAAAATTATATACCTTACTTCTTGGAGCACTTCTCCTAAAGCACTATGAACGTTACAATATATAGTAGAGCTACACAGTATTGTTCTTCTGTATAGACAACGGTTACCACCATTAATTTGTTCTGAATAACAATTTAACATCATAACCATTCCAAATTACATAAAAATAATATGTAAGAGTTTAATATTGCAAACTTTGCTTGCTTACATCTGTATGACTACTCTCCGATGGGGTGTTTTTTCATGAGTGAAAATGAAATGGTAACCTCACCTACGCTAACGGGATACGCTGGCGGGGCACCAGTGAAGAGTGATAGATGAGAATGAAAACAAACCAGTTAGCCCATCATGATGAATTCATCAAGAATTAACCATGATAGTTTCCAGAGGTCGACCTGGTTGGGTATATGGCTAGCAATGGGATTCTCAGTCTCCATTACTAACAATCCCTTTTCCCCCTCTCCGATGGGGTTGACGTGAAAGAGGTTCTTATTTTTTTTTATGAGTAACAAAGGAATAATAACCATACCTGCGCTATTTGTATACTCTGGCGGGTTCCCAAAAAGAGATGATAAGTGAAGATGAAACCAGATCAGTTGGGCCATAGTGACGAATTCATAAAAAAATAACCAAGATAGTTTCCAGAGAGCACCGCATAAATGTCGAACTGATAGGATATATTGCTAGCAAAAGGGCACCATCACTAACACTCACTTTCAGCCCAAAATATTTTAATCACATCTTACAAACCCAAATAATAATCCACTACTGGACACTACCCTCATAGGTGTATTTAGAGGATAGCGGAGCTCAGGTGCTTCCCCAGATTGTGGAAGGAGCTTCTAACTATACGTAAAGTCATTATGTTTTTAAAGACCCAACCTAAAAAATAGTCTTAAATACCTCAATAAAAACTCCCTATAAAAAAAGATTACGTACAAAGATGTCAATTCCAGCTACACGTGAGTAATTTTCAGTACTCAAAATGGCTTGACCTGCTCCAATATTCTGATTACCCGCATGTATTGCGAAATAATTATCATTATCACCAACAAAATACTGTAGATACATCAATGAAACATAACAAATGGTACCCTTTAGAATATATTGACAACATTTTTCAATCCATATTTGAACAAAATAGTCAATATACACGCCGTGTGTTTTTTTTTTATTTTTTATTGTAGATCATAATAGAATGGTAGCTTGGCCCGCGCTAACGGTATACGTTGTCAAAACACCAGTGAGTGATGATAGGTGACAATGAAAAAGCGGGTCAGTTAGCCCTACATAATGAATACACCTGGAATTCAGCACGATGGTTTCCAGGAGGGACTACGTGGAGGTCACCTGATAGGGTATATTGCTAGTAATGGGAATGTAGTCCGCATTACTAACGATCCCTTCCTTCCATGCCGAATGATTCCGGCACTGAATAGGCCTCTGATTTTCCCGTGGATGTCGTAAAAGGCGACTAAGGAAACTTAATGGTCAGAACATGGACTGTAGTTGCCAACCCGCCTGCCAACCGTAGCAACTACTAACAAAACCCAATTTATGGGTACGGCTTATGTTTAGCAATGAATATTTAACGACTAATATGATGATGATGTGACAATATATTTGTTATATTATAATATTGGGGGTAATACTTATTTATTTATTTATCTCTTTATTGCACCAAAAACATAAAAATAAACAATGACATATAAACAATTTAAGTGAAATACAGTAGCTTGAAGTACAGATTAAAATATACGCATTAAGGTACAAAAGGCAATCTTATCGATAGGGCAATCTCTTACAGACAACTTTTGATTAAAGGAGAACATATAGAAGTGGGTAGGTTGAAATAAAGATAATATAATAAAGATGTTAAGTGATGTACTGCTACTTACATATAAAAATCTGTATGAATTACTAAATTTATACTAATACAATAATTTTTTTATGTAATACATAATAGCACGATATATGACCACACACTTCGGAGCGACCATAGTGACAAGAGGGTCCATTAATACGATCAACTGAAAAGACAATGTTCTAGTCTCAACCGTACTTGGCCGCACTACACCGGCTAACTAAGTGCTTTTTCATGTTACATGTTATTTACAATCCATGTTATGATCCAAAGTTACAGCATAAAGACTTAAATTATATGAAGGTAAAAGATCATTGCATAATATAATACGATTCATGTGAGAGTTAGCAAAATATGTACATAAGGACGGATGTTCTACCGTGAAAGGATGCAGTAGCTGTCCCATTCTCATAGTGCGATATCAGTATGAGGAAGGTGAAATAGGGTAATAATGTAGTTCATTTGACCATTTCCCATGGAATAGGCGGTAGGGATACCAAAACAGGCTTCATTTCTACGTAACTACAGAGGTTTTAGAGTTTTTCTCACCACAGCATGATACGGACAACTCGCCTCTGCAGAACATCGAGTGCATATATACTGATCGAAACTATTCCGACCAATTTTGATATTTGTTAAAGACAGTAAAAATAATTATCTTCCAAATTAAACAATTATTTATTTATTTATTTATTTAACTCTTTATTGTACCAGAAAAATAAAAATATACAATGACAATTAAATAATTCAATACAGTAACATAAATATAGATTGAAATATATACATATTGAATGAAATATATATATAATATAAATATATACATATAATTAATAGACGAAAATAACTTCAAAATGGTTACAAATTATATTACATATGATTAAAAATATAATAGCAAATTAATAGGTTGAGATATATATTCAATTTCATTTCATTTATTTCATACCAATTTACATTATGTTGACAACCACTTTAACGCATTTGAAACCTTACACTCATCTCAACTGCGAAATTTAAATAAGCAGTGAATCCCAAAACAGTAGTTAAACAACTTTGTTCATATTATTATATACACAATAGAGCCAATTATGAATTTACTTACGTTAATTTTTTCAATACATTTTCCATACTATATATCTGGAGAAATTAATCATATAATAGGTATGTTACAGTGTATATCCATAATTAAAACTCTACAGTATGTAATTGATTTATCAAAAAAAAAAATATAATTTCAAGTCACTCATAACAAGTTCATTAAACCAACTGCACAATTAGTGATAAAAACCAATATCTATTCTTATTTGGCAAAAATTATAATAAAAAAGTATAATATTTATGTTTATTAAAATAATCGTGATGTTTTAGTCTTACTAAAGTATTATAACAGGGAATTGCAGTGATTTCTCTTATTTAATAGTTATATTCTAACAGAAAAAAAGACATTTAAACTAAAGTGTGAAAGTAAAGAAATACCACAGTATCTTATTTTTAATTGTGTACGCTAATAAAACAACTTATACTGGAATATAAATTATACTATTATATGAAAAGCTATGACGTATATATTTATTATATTAATATATGTATATTACGTATGTATTTATATGTGATTTATGTATGTATAATTTTTGTAAAGATATTATTCTATATGTTTGTATGTTCATTCGGCTTAAAATATATTAATATTGTTATTTATCTAAATATTTATTTCATTTACAAATTGATTTTCTAGACGAATGCACCGCCATTTACTCTCTCTGTAAAATGTAACGATTGATTGATTGATGTATTTAAATGTGTATAAACGTATAAATAAATTTATAGTTATTTTAAAAAATTAGTTTAAGTGACATTGTCCGTATGATACTGGCACTGTCAGCACACTGTATAAGTAACCTTATACAAAGAGTTCTTTAGGCTTAATACAGCTTACCTTACTTATTTAGGCTTATATAATACATTCAGGGATAAATGCTCCAACTATAAAGCTGGAGCGTGACTAGGAGTCACGAAATAAGTAGAGTAAACGGTTGGACATGAGATTTTATTTAAGTACATTATGATCCTATGGACCTAGAAACTTGACTCTGAACTTTTGTTTATTATATCTATTAAAAGAAAAATATTCGTTTTAGAAAAATATCCTAATTACAGATATTTTATATAGGTGAATCTGATGGACGAATAATAGGTGGTCATGAAGCAAAAATGCACAGTCATCCATACATGGTATCTTTACAATTAAATTTTTGGTTCCTACGTACCCACATATGCGGTGGGTCGTTGATTAGTGACAACTGGGTAAGATACTTATTAATACTTATTTATATTAAAGTAGTATATATATTAATACTTACTTCTCTTCAATATTGTATTGCAAAATCTTTATTGTACATACTTTACATCAGACACATTAAGATTTAATATACTTATCCCATAGAGGGATCTCTTACAGTCAACATTTAAAAAGCTGAAAGAAAACTATAGAATGTTCGAGGGCGAAAAACAGCTAAAGATGAAACCTAATAATACCTGGTTAAAATTAAACATATTGATTTAAATTATTCCATACCTATAACATAATAATGGATGTTTTTATACAACATACGTAAATACATTAATTGTCTGTATATAAAAAATGTAAATAGCCAGAACTTATATATATCCGAAGACAATTACAGGACTATTAGATTAAGTAAATTAACAGATTAAAGTAAATAAAAAATTACCAGTTTCGGCTTTTAGAAATCGTAACCGAAGGTTCTTTTTTTAAACTAATATAAAAAAATATATATAATTATTAGTGATTGCATTTTGGTTCAGGTTATGTTATTATTTAGTAATTCATATAGCATAACAACTATGATAACGTTCCACATATAGACCCACTATTTTCATTAGAACAGGATATTTTACAGGGTTTTATTTTGATTTCCATTTTATTCCTTCTCTTGTGTACATCATGTTTTTCCCTGAATCTCATTTTATACAACATCATGAAGACCAATAGAAATATTTACGGGGACATAATGGGGTCAATTCAGAGGCGTCATTTATATAAACAAGGAAAGGTCACTATGAACAAATTTTTTTAATAGATTCTAGTAATTTGGCAAAATTATCAAATTGAAATGTTAGATTGATTAAGAGATAGGTTTATAAATCTAATACCTAAGAATCGGGCCCATTCTATCTTCGTTACTTAGGTACATACTTTCCTTAACTTTTATGTATATATTTTTACTACCTATCTTGTAGATCATAACAGCTAGTCACTGTATAACAGGATCATGGTTGATAGATTGGTTGAACATAGACGCCGTAGCAGGAACACACGATGTGGATTTTCATGAGCCTGGTACACAAATAATCAGGATTGTCCAACGTACACCGCATCCGGATTATGCAGGGTATTTTTTTTTTCTAATTTAATGGTATATTTAAGGGAATTTATTAAAACTAACTATCTAATACTTAGTGTATACTTATATAAAACTAGTAATTTTTTTTAGCGTCCATAAGCTACAATGACCGTTTAAGATTAGACGGACTGTATGCTTGTTTACTACCTTCATGGTATAAAAAAAAAGTAATGTCCTAAGATAAAAAATATTTAAAAATACATCGAAAACATTTTCTACTCGAATTTATTAAGTATTGTGTATATCATAAAAACAATTTAAATAACCACCACTCTCATTATTTAAATTATTATGATAAGTGGGTAATTACACAATATTTTGTTTTTGTTAAATATACAAAGTATATTTTAATTTTTGAATTCAATATTTTATTTCAGAGGCGTCGGACCACATGATATAGGTTTATTAAAAACTCAATATTCATTTACATTATCAAAGCAAATACAACCTATCAGGTTACCAGAAACGTTTAATGTGAACGATAAAATAGCTCTGGCAGGATGGGGTGTATACACTACGATTTTATTTTTACCAATACTGCCTAATAAATTGCAAGAAGTCATAATGGAATATCTACCTTATGAAGGTAAGTTCAATTTGAAAATCTTTAAAGAAACTGTATTAATAACAGTTCCATAATACACCCATACAACTCTGATCAAAATGTTAAAATACCTAAATACAACGGCTCTTAAACAGCGCTTAGAACATACATACATACATATCTGTCACGCCTGTCTCCCATTAGGGTAGGCAGAAACAATGGAAGAAACACTAGAACATTTTCGACTAGAACATTTTTTTAATAATTTTTTAATTAATTAATTATCATATTGAAGTAGTATTGTATTGTAAAATCTTTAATATTCATAATTCATATTAGACACATTAAAAGATTTAATATACAATAGCGGATCTATCCCATAAAGGGATCTCTTACAGTAATTTTTTGAAAAGCAGAAAGAAAACCATAGAATATTGAAGGGTAAAAACCGTAATGTATATTTTTATCAAAAATTTTGGTATGATAATTTCCTTAAAGGTTTTTGTTGTTTTTTTTTTTCAGCCAGAAATAATTATCTAGTCGTCACATAACTTTTTTATTTAAGAATTAGTAATAGTGGTTTGAAAAAAAAAACATATTCGAATATCCTTAGGCGCAATACCTTTAACAAATTTATTTATATGCTGGTATTTATTTGCAGAGTGTTACAACGCTTTAGAAAAAATAATCGAAGAAACCGGTGAAAGCAATGCTCTTGTGAAGAATAGTAATCTATGTACTGGTCCAATATCAGGAGGTGTTGCAGCATGCAGCGGAGATTCTGGAGGGCCATTAGTACAATACGTGACAAAGATTACAAAAAACAATAACTCACTAGAACTATTTGACAAAAACGTTAATAACTTAGATTACGAAGACTTTCGAAATTACCGTAATTTGAATGAAGAAACATATTATCCTGTTTTAATAGGTATCACATCTTGGGGAATAAGTCCTTGTGGAGAAGCAGGCGCACCTACGGTTTATACAAATGTGTCAAATTATATCGGATTTATTAATAACATAACGCAATTAAGTACAACATAGGGTAATAAAAATATTTTAAACGCAAAAGTTCGTTTATTTTTAAATTTAATAACTTAATAAATCACATTTTTTATTATACATATAAATCTTAATATTATATACTACCTATGAGATATATTTACTTCGATGTGTATCTACAATTTATTTCATGTAATAATTCCCTTATAATAGGGTAAGGAAAGGTATATTGGTGATAAAAATGAAAAAAACTAATTTTATAAGAATTTTGAAACTAAGCAAAAAGTCACTTTTGTTTTACTACATCATCTATTATTTGAAGTAAATATTAAGAATAGTTTTAGTAACAAAAATCTAATAACTTTAAGAATAAATCTCAATTTAGTACACAAGAAGCCGAAGGTAAGTTGGCGATACAGTTCGGTAGATTGGTGATACTGGGTAGGAAATTTGGTGATAGTATGAAAATCTCTTATAATCAGATATTTTGAACTTAAAATATAAAGTATTTGGTACATTAATAAATATTATTCCATGCAACTATCACACCTATAATACAGCTGTTCTTCGGGATCAGTATCTTCGATGGATGCCCAGATCTCGTAGTATGGCATGAGGCAGTACGAACACTGGATCCATTTGGCTCCATTTCTTTTTTTTTACATCAGCTAAGTACAAGACCTCACATAATCCACACTCCCAATCATTTTCTATTTCTTGAATTTTACTTTTTTTTGCTTTTTGAGCAGATTTGCCCGACGTTGAGGGCTGAGACTGAACGTTTTCTTGCATCGAATCTTTATTTGCATTAGCAATTGTTGGTGTTAAACATTTCGCGCTAGAATCTCTTTTTCTTGACTTTTCTAGGCGTTTTGAAGCTTTGCGTGTTTTTAAAATTAGATCTACTTTAGGTTTAGTATTTAAAGAAAAACTTTCAGATGCTGCAAGAGCTATGTTAGTTAAAGCTGAAGGTCGTAATGCTTCCTTTGAAATAGCATTTCTGTTTAAAGGACATATCCCCGTTTTTTTTAAAAAGTACTTTCCATATTCCTTTTAGTAATCTCCTCTTGATTCTCTAGGTATCGCTTTAAGGTGCTCCATGGGACGTCTGCTTCTTTGGAAGCTTTATATATGGTTTTACCTTCATTTCTTACTAAACTAATGGCTTTTTGAAGTTGCTGCTGATTATATTTTCTATATTTACTCTCTTTTTCCATTGCCAATCTAGAGATATAACAAAAATAGGTTATTTAGTGATATTAAAAAATTATGTATAGGTAATTTGGTGATAAAAAAAAATATACTCCAACTCAAAATAAAACACATTCACAAATTCCTCAAAATAATACCTTTCGAACTCTATATTAGACTTCCCTAGTTTATTTTTAATATAAACACAAAATACATCTCAAGTTAACCTCTCAAAAATGTATCCAAAACTTTGGCAAAAACACTAAGAAACAACGGCCACAACTTAAGAAATAAAAACTCACCTTAACTGTGTCACGACTTCACTACAGTTTTTTTTCAATAATCATTAGTTTATTTAGAGATTTTAGTAAGTTTTTACACTGATTCACTAATTTATTTCAGTTAATTTTAACGAAATACATAACGTAGCGCAAACTCAGTAAATAATGGCGCCACTGATGCACAATCAACATAAAAGTTTGTTTACTAAACGCAGGAATCGTGTATCGAAGCGGTTAATATATATATATCTTTCTCACTCTCGTAACAACTTGCTAGCGCTGCCTCTTGAATGTGCTTGTACAGGTACACGAGTGGTATTCTTTCTAAAAACTATCACCAAATAACTTATATCACCAATATACCTTTCCTTACCCTATAGATTGAAATCGAAATTATTAACCTCCAGAAATAAAAAAAAAACAAAAAAATTGAATTTTTTCCCAAAGTACTCGCGACATGAATCGGTAAACGACAGCAAATATTGAGCTTTCCATGCTAATACCGTGTAAATTTAGTAAGAACCTCAAATTTTTTGTAGTTTGTGAATTTTTGATTCACGAAATTTCTGTGCTAATATATTTTATGTAGATTCTCAGTTTTACTGGTATGTATGACATAAAACGACTAAAATATATAAAATGACATATGACGACTTCGACTTTACCTGTTAGACTCGGATAAATGTAAAGTTTTTCAATTGAAGAGAATTTTTACATGAAACACACACATACTACATACAGTGTAATGCCCCCTATGCAAATATTTTAAAACTTTGGATTACAATTCGTCTTCAATCCATAAAACTGCAATTCAGAAACAAACATCCTAACATAATGTAAAAGTTTTATACAACAATACAAAAACATGTGAATATTAAACTAAAGTATTCTTTTAAAAGTTGTTTTAAATATTCAAAGTATATCTTTATTCTATTAGTTATTTCTTAGAAGTTATTGCCTTTTATTGTATTATTTAACTGATCTTTTAAAATTATGAATCACAATTAAATTCCATCTACCATTCGGTAGATGTATACTTCTATGCAATTGCACCATCATAAAAAAAATATAAAATTATCATAAAAAAGAATCTTACAATTAATTTGTAATCAGTCTATAATTAACTAAAACGTTAATTTAGTAGCACATCAGGAGGTTTATAATTGCCGCACAGTGATAACGCCTTGATAATTTGTTCTGGCAAAGGTAATGATCGAGGTACGCTTAGAAGTATTGCTGTTGGTAAAGATGATAAACTGCACGCTCGACACTCCAGCATCCAGCTACCTCCAAGGTCGGTCCTCATCCGCACCACTGTATAACCTTTGTTTGGTACAGTCACTGTGTCTTTAACAGGCGGATTTATCAAGTTCCTGAAAAATATATATTGATTTTTCAAATACAGCTCTCATCACTTTACATTTCAGCCATTAACTGTCCACTGCCGAACATAGACCTTCTCCATAAGAGGAGTTTTTCCAGTAATTGCCACACTTGGCAGACGAGTTGGCAACCGAAATTAGTTTTTTAGTGATATTTAAAGAGGGACGCTGCTGCCCATTTCTCTACCATTAAGTTCCTTGAGTCGCCTCTTACGACACCCACGAGAAAGGAAGTCTATTCTATGACACGACCGCACTGAAATAAAGATTTACTACTTCCAATACATCTAATCCTACAAATATTATAAACATTAAAGTTTATAAGGATATTTTTTATTTGGGTGTTTGTTACTCAATCACGCTTTATGCTTAAAAATGGATTTGAATTAAATTTGATATACGAATAAGTTATGTCCCAACTTAACATATATTATAAACTAATGCGCATGGACATAATAGCAGGTAACAGCAAGTATATTCTGTGACGTCCATGCTTACAGCGTTGGTTACTGCTTTTTATTATTGTTGTATAAAAAAAAGTCCATGAGATTATCTGAATAAGTGATATTTATGGTCACGAAACTAGCCGAATATTCTCAACTGAAATACACATAATTTAATACGAGTGTTCTTACATTAAAATATCAATGATATATAATTATAAACCTTAATGATGACCTTTTCTAAAAATATTTCAACATTATTGAGGCAATTTGTTCCCAAATCGGGCAATTTTAAACTTTTATTTAACTTAAAAATATAATAAGCAATAGAATTGGACCTTGACAAGATTTAATTCTATTTCTTATTTTATACATATATTATAAATAGACTTTAATTCATTATATTTAACCCATATATAAAGTTTAATAAATATTAATTAAAATTACCTGATAACTTTCTTCTCTTTATCGAGCCTCTTAAATTCCTCTAAAGATATCGGTTTTTTATCGAGACTCTGCCACGTAGCAACCACTTGCATGGTGAACCCATGTAAATGGAATGTATAGGAGTCGTTACTGCCAAAACCTGTAATGTAAAATAAAATTATATACATATACACCGCATACAGATAAATGGTTAATACATTTGAACAAAATCTAATAATACGTATGAAAAAAGCAATGTAATACGTATAAAATAATCAAATTTATATTTTTTCGCTAATCTTTTATCAGTGTAAACAGTTGAAGGCAGTAAAGGTAAAGTATATATACCATATAATAAGCGAGTACTCATTCTTCCCATATTTCTTGACCTTTAGTGTTCTAAAGAGATTATTGCCCAATGATTATCGCAAATAATTATAAAGACCTAAGGACGACACTAATACCACTATGCTCATCGAACATTCTTTCGAATTCAAATACATATGTTTGCTTAAGAAGGCTACTAACATATACTCGTAATTTTATGTAAAATCTCTGATTCAATGATACATATAATAAATAGGAAGCATTCTGGTAGACCCTTATATTCTGTTTTTACTCTAGTTCTGAGTATTTCGCTACTTAGTATAAATACCGTTATTCTTTCATAAAAACCGTTTTTCAATCAATAATCTAACTCTTGTCTATGTCTTTTAATGTAACCCCATGTTGAAAGGTATTGTTAACAATAGTTTTTACAATCGAATACACTGTTAAAATAGCAGTTTATAATTTCATACTCAGACTAATTATGAATTAATTTTATTCGTCAAATCTATAAATATAGAAACTTATAGGGCAGCGGATTCGATATCCGCTGAATTTGTGCGACTTCAGTGCTGAAGCTTGAAATTACTATATACCTATTTCAGTGTTGATTCATTATTTTTAATTAACTTGAATATAATAGCAAAAAAATACATTAATTGATACATTGATTAATAAAGAAATATGATAATATTCACCTTCGTTCAACAAAACTAGTTCAACCACGGCACCCTCGTGAGACGTCAGAATCTGAACACATTGAGGATCCCGTGACTTGTCCTCTTCACCAACAGGACAAACATAATTCAATTTGACATACCTAGGACTCAAAATGGCAGGAATAGCTGGATAGAGGAAACTTTTACCGTTTATCTGTACAACGCTGTCCTGTAATGCTGAAATAAAAATAAATATTAATTATGCATTTTCTACATATTTATAAGAGATGATAATGAGGCAAACATGCAAAGAAAATATGGTAATTTACCTATTCGGATTTTCGGACTCACTCAAACGATTTTTTTCGAATTATCGATCCAATCAAATTTATTAAGATTAGGCCTTATCCAATGTACAATCCACAAAAGAACCAAAGTCACCGACATAGTCCGAAGTATAAGCAAGTTAAAGTGGCAAAGAGCTGGTCATATAGCTCGAAGAACCAACAAACGAGGGGAAAGAAAGGTTCTTAAGTGGCGACTCCGTATAGGCAAACACTGTTAAACAACCCCAACTAGATATAGTTACCATTATATATTATATAGAATATTTAAGCCTTAAAAATAATAATGTGGAAATTGACTGAATCTTTCTTTGGTTAACTACTAACATACAATAGATGGAGAAGAGATTATTAATAACAGGAATTAAAATTAAGTCTGCAAAATATTTTTACTTATTTCTTTTACTAAAACAGCTGAGTAGGGGGAGAAGGGGTTGTTAGTAATAGAGACTGAGAATCTTAGTGCTAGCAATATACCCAATCAGGTCGACCTCGCGGTTCTCCCTGGAAACTATCATGGTTAATTCTTGATGAATTCATCATGATGGGCTAACTGGCCTGTTTTCATTCTCATCTATCACCCTTCACTGGTGCTCCGCCAGCGTATCCCGTTAGCGCAGGCGGGGTACCATACCATTTTCACCCATCCAAAAAAAAAAACTAAACTGAGTAAAAGAAATAAAATATAAAGAATGTTGCTTATAGAGAGGTTGCTTATATAGAGCGTTCACTGTAGTACATATTATAAATTGTTCTTACATAACGCTGCAGGGAAGAACGGCTTATTTGGTAAAGCTTCGCTGATATAACGAAAATCATTTTCATTGTCCTCATGTTTAACCGCCTTTCTGTCGATACTTAAATATACAGTTTTGGAAGGTGTACTCTGAGCCACATTTTGTTTGGATTCCAGCATTTGTCCATATACTGGCGGCCCAAGTTCCTTATCAGTTTCAGTGTTTATTAAATTAGTCTGTAAATAAATAAGGTTATGTCTATTTAATCTATAGTTCATCAATTGTTATTTATAAGCAAACCGATTTCATATAATAATATAACTGGAAAACAAACGGACAAGATTATAAAGTTAATATTTGTTTTACAATCAACTGAACATAATATATGTATAATATCCATGATCAATGCACGTGAGCACTCGGGAATTGTAATATCAGTTGGTTTAATGAAGACTAAATTATTACAAGCTATCATTTGCACCATATCCAAAAATATATTTTCATAGATTTTCAAAAGTAAGAGCATTCTGCATAGCAAATTTCCAATCTACATAGTTCACCAGTCCTTTAAATTTTTCAAAAGAGATCAGCGAATTACTCTTGTTAAATATCATGAAAATTTTCTACTTACAGAGCTGGGCCCATAACCTGTTGTAAATAGCAGGATGCAGTAATAAAACGTATATGTATTTGTAATATAAAATAATAAGTTTAGTGAAATAATACGAGACAAAAATCATAAAAAATCTGACGTAGAACAAACATAAAAATAATACATTGTTCTATAAAACCTCAGTGTCAACAGCCAGTATTAAAACACCAACATATAAAGCATTGATTCAATTAAATTAATAATAATTTAGTTAAATTTAAACTTTCACGTTGTTGTATGTAACAACGCGTTAAACGCTGAACTTTACTTACTTTAATTTGTTTTACTTCAGCAATAAAAATAATTAATATAATTTAATATACCTACATACTATTTACCTAAACTAACGTTGCGTTGAATTCCAAACGTGAATTTAAAATATTAATAAAATAAAATTTTATAACAATAATCAACGACTGTGTGCTACGTAAAAATAGACTTCAATATTAAAAAAACAAGCTATTTTGAACTTTAAACTACTGGACTTATTTTAATGAAATTTCTATGGGGCCAATCTGTATATATGTCCTTTCAGATAAAAAGAATTTTTCGAAACAGTTTAGAACTGACGGAGTTACGAGGCAACAAACCAAAAAAAAATACCACTGATTTGTGAACCTTCTTCTTTTTGGAGTCGTCTCACAATGTTAATGTCAACAAAAATTGCATGTGTACGTAACTACTATACGTAGTGTATGTGTAACTATGCAATTATATGTAAACTTGAAAAAGGGCCACCATTATTTAAACTAGAAAACGAAGGCCACGCTGTACATTTTAATATTGTTGATGAGAAAATATTATTTTCTTCTTTATTCAGTTGTCTGCCACTCATTGTAGAAGTTCTGCTTAGTTTGGAACTAGATGGCGTTGCGTAATACTACTACTGACCCGTTTATTTTGTAACATCGACGTGTAGTTAAAACCGGAATATATTAACATCGCATCGGTAGTCAGACCAGCGCAAACCTCAATTCCGTGAACTTTCAACCAATATCCGCCATTCTCCTGAGACGCGCGAACTACGACATCCATCCGTTCACCTGTAAATAAAAAAAATAGCATCAATACTTTTTTAATAATAATAATACTTTTATTGGATATTATTATGTGTATAACTCCTTACAACTTATAATTTAAAAGTACGCTATAAAATTTACTTAGATCAAGCGTGCAAATATTGGTGGTATTAAAAAACCTAATTATTAAATAATAAACAATAATTGCATGATAATAAATAATCTTTATTGATAATGTTTACGATACAATAAAATAAAAAAAAAATTAAATAATAAAATGCTATTTATGCGACTTCGTATGGCAAACAAGTGACGATGGATCTAATACAAATGGTAACACTAGTCTACAGATATGAATAGCGCCAAAGACAGCAAAGAAGATATCACAGAAATACGTTTCCATTTCTTTTGATTAAAATGTTATGCTTCCGTACTTGGTAACTTAATTGCTATACCCCACCTTTCTAAATACAGTATTACAACACAATGCATAACAGCTTGGCTTTATAAATATGAGCAAAAGGGTTCAAGTCACTCATTCCTACTTTTTTTCTGATTTTACATTTCCCCGTCTGATAAGATCCTTCATCCTCCTATTGAAATGATCAAGACAGAAATATAGACCAATAGAGGAATCATCATTATTTGATTATGTGTTTGTGGTTTACCCTTGCAGATTGGGTAATTCCAAGTTTACTTTACTGGGTTCGCAGTAATAACAAATTTATTCTTGATTCGGATATGATTTTAATACGCAAGCAAATGAAACGTTAACGTTAACGTTTACGTTTGACAATATTTTTTGTATATATGAAAAGAAGAGGTGACGATATATAATCCAGTGAAATATGACAAATGACGTGAAGGTAGCTGCTGGTTGGTAGGTCGTCACAATTTGTTCCACACTTCATGATCCTTGCAGCAATCATAGATTATGCAATAACAATCATCATCATTATAATAGCCGGTAACTGTCCACTGTTGAACATAGGCTTCTCTCATAGAAGGGAAGTTTGCCAGTAGATATCATGCTTATCAGGAGGGTGGACGACCGCAGTTAGGCTTTGGTGAGTGTTTTAAAAGAACGCCGCTGCCCATCCCAATAGAAGAATATTATAGAGTAATTATGGTAATCACATACATCTGATAGCCCTCCATATCCTGTACATTATATTATGATAAACTAGATATCTAAAGTTACAGAACTAAAGTTATATCTGAAGTTACAACCCATAATACATAGTATATCGATTCTTAAAATAGGTACGCAAAACCGAGCCAATATAAAAAAAACATTATTACAAAGCTTTTATTTCTTTTATTTATGAACTGCTGCAATATTTCAGAAGACTTATGTACTTAGGTACTTAACACCATAAATCTATATTTATGCTGATAATATATGGGATCATTCATTTCGATAATCATCATCATTATTTCATGTCCGTTTCTAAAGGGAAAAAATCTACAAAGTGACGAAACTAGGTATTAACCTGTTTGCATGAAAGTTTTTTTTTTAATTTAATTTACTTTGTCAATCATATTTCGCATACAAAGATCATATAACAAATATAAATTCTCGACTACATAACTATATATATGTATATATGTGTGTGTCTGTGTAAGTGTGTATAGAAAGTGAAATGAAAACAAACTAAAACCTGTTTCACGACTGACCTTAAACTTGCCAGTGACCATCGCCTTTCTCTACAAAGAACATCTAGAGTATCCGTTCTGTTGAATCGCGGTCGAAGCTAACGCAGAATTTAATCTTTATACTAAAATAATATGGCCTGATTTACTTACAGACTTAGAAATATAAACTAGATCACAAACTACAAGAAAACTTAAAGGTTCTCTAAGATAACATAAACATTAATTGCAATTAGAAAAACTTTCATCTTCACTGAGATTTTCAAATTACTTTTGCAAATTTCTTTAAAAGAATTTTGCAAATTTCTTTAAAAAAATGTAGGCATTTTATATATTCGAAAATAACGAAACTAACCCAACCCGAATTTATGTCTGTGGTGCAAAATAATGCACTTTCTCCGTCCGGTGACCTCAACAGAGGAATCTATAAATGTAGATATTTTTGTAATCTGTCATAGAACTTTTTTTTATGAAGGTGGCCCAGGACCATTGCTTATAATATTCTGTGGGGGAAGCCTATATTCAGCAGTGACTAAGACGATGATGATGATGATGATGATATGTACACATGTGCTAGCATATAAATTTAAATTAACTACATGTCTATGAACATTAATTACAGACATAGATAGAGACAGAGATTGCAAATATCCCAACTTATATAAAAGCTAGGTAACCTCGTTGAACTATATTTATTTATTCTGGGTATCACGTATCTTTAGGGTTGCCCGACTAAACAATAATACGAGTAAGAATTCGCGATAGTTATTATACAAAATTGACTACTTGTTTTGTTTTTTTTTATACAACTTAGAATGGCAAACAAGCTGACGGCCCACCTGATGAAAAGTGGTAACCGTCGCCTATAGACATGAACAGTACCATGGACAAAACAGAGTATACTGTTTCGCCCATGATACCGTCCATACGTTGCCATTCCTGAGGACTCAGGTGTTATTCTCTGTACCCTGTAAATTCACACCGTATCCCACCCTTCAAACCGAAACACAGCCATGCAAACACAACTGCTTCACGGTAGAAACACGAATAGAACAGAGGTACCCAAGCAATCGACCTTTGTACAAAGTCTCCCTCTGGTACTTGTTTTGGTGATAAAAAATCATTATTGATAACAAACCCCATACGATTTTTTTTTTATTTACCTATGTAATTTTTCAAAATTCTCTATTACGTATATAATAACATCTAGTTTATAAGAAATGTAATTTAAAAGTATAATATGGTAATCACAGTAAACCAAAAACGATAGAATTTGAAATTTTTCTCTGTTGTCACGTTTATCGTGTATCACATAAAAAAACAAAACTGACTGTGATAAACTTTTCACAATAAAAATGTGCTAAATATGGGTTAACAATTAGGCAATATAAATTTAAAAAAATAACACCCAAAAGAATGTGTAACGTTGTACAATGCAAATGAAATAGCAAATACATATATCAAAAAGTATATGTATCTATGCATTTCGACAACCATTTTCACAATATCACGGTATCACGGAGGTATCGCGGGCGATATGTCCATAGTACTGCTCATGTCTATAGGCGACTGTTACCACTTTCTATCAGGTGGACCGTCAGCTTGTTTGCCATTCTAGATTGTATAAAAAAAATTCACAATAGGCTAATTAATATCTATATTCAGGCATTCTTTTTCTGTAGTTAATTTGGAAAGTTGGTAATATAGAAGCATGTATGCAGGTACTATTTACCTGTGAAGGCTTTTACATCGTGTTAAGTCCCGATTGTTTTTTTTTTTTAAATATTCTATTTCCTTTAAAATGTTATAATATTGCGTCAATACTAAATACTTCTTTTATATCAATGAACGACTATGAAAATGGTAATTAAGGGAAATATCATAAATTTATGGGAAGAGATCATTTTCAAAATGTTAGTTAAAGAAGTATGACAGAATTTCACTATTCTCTTTATATTTAATATACGTAATAAATATATTCCTTACTGTAATTATTTATTCGTTTCGAATGCGCCAATATTTGGATTCTCGAGTCATGATTATTATGATGATTAGCACAAAAAAAGATTTATGGTTTATATTAATTATGTAATTCTTTTTCTACATAAAAAATATATATTTTCCTAAAAACGTTATGAAATAATGAATGACTATGTCCCACAAATAAAACTGACTTCATTAGTGACCATATCAGTTATTTTAGTCTAAAAATTGAACTACTGAACCGATTTTGATGAAATTTGGAATGAAACCAATGTATAAGTATATCCTTTCAGATAAATAAAAATTCCAAACCAGTTTAGAATTGACGGAGTTATGAGATAACAAAAATAAAAAAGTACAACCTAATTCTACCTCCTTCTTTTTGAAGTCGATTGAAAGCCAAATGTGATTAAAAATTCCTAGAAACATTTATTGTCCCTGAACTAAAAACTTATTTATTATTCGTTAAATAAATATGAATATGTAAATAAATAAAATGTCAGACTGTGTAAAAGATATAATTAATTATAATAATACATATAATTACATAATCAATTAACAACTTCACCTCAGTTCTGTATTCATATTTACTTATATAAATACTTAAGCGGTTTAGTGACTATTCTTATATATAATAGGCATTTCGTTTTTGCGATCTACTCATTTCACTATAATTGAACAATAATAACATGACTTTCTCCATGGCATAACATTGCTTTCTTGCTGGCAACGCCATTCACTCTCACCTAGTGAAGTCCCAACCGTAAATGTCAGTTTCTTATTTAAACGTACGTTTATTGACGAAAACCACAGTCATAAACGCAATGATCAAGAATTATCATTAATCTTTTTTAATTTATTAGCTAAGAACACTTTTTTTTTTTATTAATAAAGTTTCTTTTAATAGGACTGTACTCGGCTGTGTTGTTAATTGTTAATTGAATTAAGAAAATTAAGTTAATATTTTTTAGTAACAACACATTGCTGCAGTTTTTTTTTTTTTAGTTTATAAAGAGGAAAATAGAACTTTATTCACATAAAAATGTTGGTGTCTACTCGCGAAATAATCTGCTTAATTAATTAAATAATAAATAGCCTTCTCCTTCTGCATCACAAATTAACATAATTAAATTTATTTAATGTTTAAATATTTAAATTACATTGACATAGTTAAATCCTTTTATTTTTAGCGCAATTTTGTCTAATAAATTTTAGATTTTCGCATGGCATGATTTATGGTTTATATGATTTATGGTAATTTGAACATAGGCCAGAGTAAGCGGACAATAGCAGAGAGGGTCAAGGAACATTATTGCAGTGAAAAATCGCCAAACAAGTAAAACAGCTGACGTGCGGCAGGCGGCCGGTAGTACTAAAAGCCAAATCTTTTTGTAATACGGATAAAAGCATATTACGTTGACCCCAAATAATAATTGGGATAAGGGTAGGAAAATGATGATGATATATACATATATATATGTACTAATATATAATATAATAGAAATAATGTAAGCAAAGGTAAACTTACTTCTTATAGAGTTTCCTTACAGCCAACCTAACACAATAGCATTAAATGTAGTCATGGACGGAACAGTATACTCTGTTTTGTCTACTGTTCATGTCTATAGGCGACGGTTACCACATTCCATACGGTGGGTCGTGAGCTTGTTTGCCATTTTAGAATAAAATAAAAAATAAGTTGCATAAAAAAAAGTAGTACATATTGACTAGAAACGGGTACTAATTGGAATGAGTTCTTAAGAGAACTCAAGAACAATATAGAAAGTGAAGAAATACATCTACTCGATGTGATTTCAAATTAACCCCAATTCGATTACATCAAATGTCAGCCTACAATTCAGTAATCTCGAACAAAGCTCAACAATGCGCAATGCTGATAGAGTTACCTGGGTAAAGTTGCACGCTCCTCGTGGACACCGGTTTTACCGCTTTCCCATCTGTTGCGATAACCGTCATTTCATGCCCTTCTATACTTGCAACCACGGGACATTCTATAGCAATTGCATTGATCAACCTGAGTCTATAAGCGTAACCTTGCATAACAAATAACCTGAAATAGAAAAGTTCAATTATTTCTAAATACATGTAATCCTCTGGAATGATGGAAATCCTTTAAAAGGAGTGTTTAATCTTAAAAGAGGAATTCATATCTTTATTTCTCTTTCTACAATAAGGTACAATTTATTATTCATTTACTAAACAATATGTTTAGTATTTTTGTTATAAAAACTAATACTGAATAATACTTTTTGGCTATCAACTAAAGTAACTACTATTTTAGCACTCACAATTACCGCTGCCTGCATCAAAATAAAAACCATTCTAGTAAAAACAAAATATTCTTATAACATCAAAACTGGACGTGGTTAATTAAATTATGATTACATATTTGAATTCAATGTGTCCATATGTATTAATCCTACAGATACATTGTTTTGCTCTTATTTTGAAGCCGACCTGTGTTATTAATGTTTTAGGCCAATATACAAACGTTATCACAATTTAGCATGAAACCTTTTAACTTACTTGTAGCTGTCTTCATCTCCATTTATTACAAGTGCATCTGGAGCCATCTGGCTCATATCCTCAAGATTAGCAGTAAACAACATGGGGAATCTTGCACCAACCAGCAAAGTGTACTCAGGACTTCTGTCATAATCATACAGTGCGGAATGGTGGTCTAGAGGCTGAGGTTGATTCACCACAAATGAACCGTACACTCCATCGCTGTGATGAGATACTATGAACAAATAATATTACTGTATTGTTATTATAGTTATATATTGAAATATCTAATACATTGTCAAATATCAAAATAAAATGTTCTAGAATTCCATACAATTCGATATTCACAAATTAATCATTACAATAATTATCTCATTAAACATCTTCATTAGTATTTAGTGATTTATTGAACTGTATATGCATATAAAATAAACATAGTTTGGTTGAGTGTTTTAAATATTATTAAGTACTTTTTATTAAATTACTTGCAAAAATAAATCTAATCTAATAAGGCTAAGTCATTAATGAATTCGTGGGCACAAATATGTATGCCATAAAAAAGTTTACTCCATTAATTTACATACCAGAGTCAGCGTGATAGAAGAAAGTTCCAGGCGATATGGCATTAAAGATGTAGGTGTATGTTGATCCATAGGATATAGGGCACTGAGTGATCATTGGGACACCATCCATGTGGGGAGCTACCTGCTCCACGCCGTGCCAATGTATAGCAATATCCTGATCAGGAATCTTATTCTTCACTTTTACAACCACAAAATCATTGACGCAAACGTTTATCGGAGGTCCTGGTGTTTTCCCATTAATAGTAATAGCTGTTTTTCCATTTTCAGTCATAGTAGGTTCTATCTCAAAGGTATATCGGCAAAATCTTGGTTCAACGTTAAATTTGCAAGGTCTATAACATGAAACTGAAATAAAAAAATCTATGAATGTGTGGATCCAGACAGATATATAATATTATTATTAAATTCAATTCCAAATATTATTTTAAAATTTAGCTGTTTGTGTGAAAACAGCTGTTGAAATTTTAATAGTTTGTATTAAACATACTCTTTATTTATTTACTAACTTTTACTTGCATTTTCGTCCGCGTAACCTAAATATATTGATTGGCCGAAATAAATGGTAGCCTTCGACATTCTCTATCTATTATTACTTTACATGCTTCGTGCTTTAGAAAGCATGTAAAATAAGCGTCGCGTAAGTCACTTTAGAGGCCGTCATATAAAATACTTAAAAACACTTGACGCAAGAGAGCTACAGCCTTACCCGAATAGTAATGCCTGTGACTACCTCATTTGAAATTATAGTCATTTATAAATATTGAAGGAATTCACCACTGTCATCCTTTGTACCATATTCTAAAAAAATATTAATTATAATTATCATGAGCGTTCATAACTTATGCTTGCCGAAGTGTGGCAACGTCGCTTTAACCTGTCAAGTTTTAACAATAAATAAACTATTTTTAATGTTTGCGTTTGATTATTTAAAAAATGCTCTGCAAGCGAACTAAAACCTTAACCATAAAACACACTGTATTTTACTTCGGAATTGTTTAAATACGTTTTTACCATCAAAATTAAAATTTTCAGTGACAGTTTAATAAGAATATTTCTGCATGTAGTTGTTGTTCTTTTTTTTTCTTTTTTAGATTATTAAGTGATGTAAATCTGTATATGTTTGTATAACTATAACTAAATTGTAACTTTGGAAAGCACTGGCTTCTCACATATACTTAACACTAGTTTGGGAGTCAGAACTATATGTAAATTTACTGGTTCAATAAAAGATTATTATCGCTAGTGGAGAGCTTTTTAAATAATCATTCAGAAACATTGAAATATGTTCAATTGTTTTTAATAATTGACAGGCAATTAGAACGTTTAATCAGTAGATAGTCTCTTCTGTATACACTAGGCACCTCCGTATATATAACAATATTTTGTCCGCCTAGTCTATCGCTAGAAACGTTGACACAAATACCAAACAAAGAAAAACTGGTTTTCTATATATGCAATTTTTTATTTAGTTAGTTTATTAATATTATGCGAATTACATGCGAAAGAAATTTTTCTAAATGTGTTACTTTCACGACATAGAAGATGCTACCACGTGTGCTATGTTATTATATTTTTAAAACTTAGAATGGCAAAAAAAACTGACAATCCACCTGATAGAAAGTGTTGTAAATCATATATATTAAGTGCTTATTAGGAAGGAAAAATTTATTCAGAGAGAATTGTGTATTTTTATCAGAATAATGAAGGACAAGAAAACAAAAGATAACTTCGAACAGTAATTTTAAAATTATGTCAAAGTCTATATACACGTATCAAAACATTTCGAGCCATTATCAACAGAAAGTAACTATCACCAGTCGGTAGCCCTTCATATGTTGCCTTTCCCAAGTATAAGTACATAATTACAGTACTATAAGTTAAATCGTTACTAAATAAATATGGCACCATCAGTGTAAATTTTATTGATTACAAAAGGAAATATAAAAATTAGAATAGTTAAATACTGCGTAATATATGCGAACTTGCTCCCTTTCTAAGTAAGTCGCTTGTACAAATAATATTGTCACGACTATAATGGCAAACAGAGTAAGTAGTGAAAGATATTTGATGACAATTGTAGTTTGATTAATATACTATAATAGGTTATCTATACTTATAATAAATCTGTAGAGAGGTCAATTCTGTACATGAAATATATTTCCAAAATAACTATCAGGGGGTGATTAGTGATCGATACTGATGCCAAAAACTGCAATTTTTGTCTGTCTATCTGTCTGTATGTTCTACAAAAACTACTCGACGGATTTTAACGAAACTTGGTACAATTATTCTCCTGGGCAGGTTATAGTATACTTTTCATCACGCTACGATCAATATGATCAGAGCAGTGAAGGCAATGTTGGGAAAACGGGAGAAGTTACTCCATTGCTTCCGTCGCGAGTGCAGCCTTAAAAGCCACTTTTTAAAATGTACAAATGTCCACCCGTGCGAACCCGGGACGGGCCGCTAGTATACAATATGTTTCAATAAAACTTAATAAAAGGATAACCAAGTTGGTTGAAATTATCACAGAAACACTGTTTAAATTAAATCCTAATCTATAATTCTATTTACACTAACATTATAAGGGGAAAGATTTGATTGTTTGTTTGTTTATAATGAATAAACTTAAACTCTATTTTATTTACCTATACTCTGTTACTAACTGTATATGTAGCTACTAATAATTTGTTATTTATCATATTATATTTGCACGATATATGTTGCTGTGTAGGTCTCGGTATAAAATAGGTCACCCCTTCCTTTCGCGTAGGTGTCGTAAGAGGCGACTAAGGGAGCTTATGGTAGAGGGATGAGCAGCAGCGTCCCTCTTAAAACATCACTGAAAGCCAAATTGCGATTGCCAACCTGCTTGCCAAGCATGGCAACTACTAACATAACCCTCCTTATGGGTGGATAGACTATGTTCAGAAGTGCACAATTAACGGTTGATACAACAACAACATATATGTTGTGCTTTATATACTTATATATATAGTTTTATACTTCTGCAGATATCATCGTTTTTCAAGAATATTGTAACCAATGTTTTTGTTCCAAATAAAGAATTACTATTATTATATACAAACCCTATAGATATTTTCTCCTTTCGAGTTCTCTGGGTTGACTAGAAAAAATCCTTTTAAGTGCTTTTTTGTTATATCTTATATATATATATATATATATATATATATATATATATATATATATATATATATATATATATATATATATATATATTAAAAACGGATGTGCAAAAACATATTAGTCAATAAATTTACTTAATCCATTTCAAAAATTATTTTACCTGTAGAAAGCTACATTATCAGCTAATAACCTAGACTATATATTATTTTCGAAAATTCTATCTATCCATGCGAAATCGTGCTGGATCACTAATATCATACAAATATAATAATAAGAAGAAAGTAAATTTGTTTGTTCGTTTGTTACTTCATAGCGTCTGAACGACTCAACCAATCATTACAAAATTTTGTATACACATACTACGTAGAATAGAGAAAGACAGGCTACTTTTAATCCCAGTCAATCAACATATCCCAATCGGAGTCACAAGTAAAAGCTAGTTAGTAATAAATCAAAATATTCAATAAATAAATCTATTTTTGATTTGTACTACATATTTTTGGACATCAGCAAAATGTCTTATTCAAATTTATTCGTTTGTTTACATTTTTATTAAGTCCTATTGAAATAAATTATATATATATATGTAAATATTTTATAATAATAATAATTATTCCTTTTTTACCTGGACTTTTTGTATTATCTTCAAGCAGCCAGTTATCACTCATCACTTTAAAAGTCTCAAGCGACGCTTTTCCATTATTGATAATATTTGCGATAATCATTAAACAAATTACTAATAATTTCATTTTTTTATTAAATTTTATAACTTATTTATATTAATAACACAATATATTATAAATTATCATAAGACATAACAAAACGCATAATCACAAATGAACAGCACACAAGAAGCGCGTCCCCGCTGCTGAGTCGCTCGGTACTGCCCGGTCTCTCTGTATCTGTTATGGCTCTATGCAAATGTTACACTTTCCACGTTGAGCATTGCCTGAAAAACTGGTTCTATCTAGTCGCACATAGAGTCTTCCTGCTTTATGTAAATTCTATTTTCTTATTGCAGTAAATACATGGATCATATATTTTTAGATGGAGAGTGTAATATTGACAAACAAAGACACTGTTGGGTGATGCTTCGGTTTTCATCCTGAGTGTTCATATTTAATCTCATATCTGATGGAGGGTACAAGAATCAAACGTATAATATTAATAATCTTGCGCCACCTACCTACTTCTATCAGTTCTCCTTTAACCAAAGCTTGACTGAGATTGTCCCAACGATAAGACCGCCTTTTGTACCTTTATGCATATATTTCAATCTGTATTTATGTTACTATATTTCACTTGAATTATTCAGTTGCATGTTTTTGTTTCTGGTGCACTAAAGAGGTAAATTAAATAATTAATTAATAAAAATAAATGTGATAAATGAATTTGAGTTTGTTTGTGTGTTACCTTATAGAGCCTTAACGGCTTAACCGATCACTATGAAACTTTGTATACGTGTACTGTATGGGATGAAATAGGAATAGACTATTTTATTGCGGTCACTGAACATATCCCGGACAAATGGACATAGTCACAGTTAAAAGATAATAATATTATTATAGACGGTCATGATTTTCATTTACACAAATCTTTAAAACCGCTCAATTGATTTTAATAAAATTTTGTAAATGTGTATTGTTTACTCCAAAAGAATAGGTTTTATTCCGATAAGAAAGGTAATGATGCTAGATGGCGGTAGGAGTAAAAACAACATTTGCCGTATCAACTAATCTTAAGAATATAATAAAATAAAAACTGGACGATGTCTGTGCATAAAAGATATTTAAAAAAATATATGTAAGAGGTTTTTTAATAAAAGTAATAGAAGACAGCCAAAACAAAATTTTTTGGAATTTGTGTCTGTCTGTCTGTCTTTTGAAATTCACTCGTACGTAATAGCGATAAAAAAAATTGTACTAAATATAAATAAATAAAATTACGTTTAGTGTAATAAAATAAATCAATACACCAGAGGGAGACTGCGACTGTATCTTTCTTAAATAAATAAATATTATTATTATTATAGACTTTGTACAAAAGTCGATTGCTTGGGTACCTCTGTCCCATTCATGTTTCTACTATGAAGCAGTTTGCATGGCTGTATTTCGGTTTGAAGGGCTATGGCGTGAATTTACAGAGTACAGAGAAATAATACCTGAATCCTCAAGAATGGCAACGCATGGGGGGTATCATGAGCGAAACAGTATACTCTGTTATGTCTATAGTACAGCTCATGTCTATAGGCGACGGTTACCACTTTCCATCAGGTGGGCCGTCAGCTTGCTTGCCATTCTAAGTTGTATAAAAAAAAACAATATTAATACAAATTAAATATGAAAACAAAATCATTGAAATAATATTAGGCTGCTTAGAATGGCAATTTTTGGTATTATTACAATCGAAGCAGAAAGTTACAGCTAGTAATTGTATGTGTTCAAAACAATAGTAATAAGTAATACAGATACATAGGGGAGAAAGGGATTGTTAGTAATGGAGACTGAGAATCCCATTGCTAGCAATATACCCAACCAGGTCGACCTACTCGCGATTCCCCCTGGAAACTATCATGGTTAATTCCTGATGAATTCATCATGATGGGCTAACTGGACTGTTTTCGTTCTCATCTATCACCCTTCACTGGTGCTCCGCCAGCGTATCCCGTTAGCGCAGGTGGGGTTACCTACCATTTTCACCCATCAAAAAAAAAATACAGATACATAGGTAAATACAATAGTTAGTACATAATTATGCTATCAACATTAAACATTACCATCTAAATGTTTGTAAGGCGAAGGTCATATGACAATAGTGCAATCTGCAAGATGAAGGAAATTTTGCAATCCTGCAACGATATTACTAGCTCTGAAGTGAAATTGTTGCAAAACATTCTTCACTATTTCATATACGAGTATATTACCAGTACTTATGTTAAGGTCGACACGAAATATTAGAACGTCTAAAACTGTAGACACAATAATAGACCTGGCTAATGCTATATTTTATGAAACTTAAAATAGAAACAACTTACGGTCGACCTGATAGAAAATAATAGCCGTCACGTAAATGTTTATAAAGTTTATTGCACAAAATTGCACATTGATAACAGATAAATATTTTCAACCATATTTTCAATTTTTGGAGTACAAAAGGGGGGAAGGGGTTGTTAGTAATGTGGACTAACAGTCCCATGGCTAGCAATATACTCTGTCAGGTCGACCTCCACGTGGTCTCCCCTGGAAATCATCCTACTGAATCCTAGGTGTATTCACCAAAATGGACTCACTGACATGCTTTTTTATTCACACCTATCATTCCTCGCTGGTGCCCCGCCAGCGTATACCATTAGCGCAGACGGAGCTACCATTCCATTATCATCCATCCAAAAAATACATACTCCAAAAAGGTGACAGAAAAGGAAGTTTTCAATTCGATTCCTATTTTTTTTTTAAATAACTAGCTTTTGCCTGCAACTTCGTATGCGTGGATTTTGGAGGTGCATAACCACTTCTAGGTGAAGTATAGAAATAAAACATACATTAGACTTTAAGTTGTATCACACAACTATAAAAACCTCATTTAATTTGATGCACCAATTTTTGCATAATGCTAGAGCAAACATATTGACAGACAGACAGGGAAACAAAAATTATATTTTTAACCTCTATTGTTCTTATTAAAACACCTGTAATCGTGTTTTTTTTAAGTATCTCGAATGTACAGACATCGTCCAGTTACAAATTATAATAGTAGAATTATTTTATTTTATACTAAAAAAAATCAATTTCTAAAATAAATATAAGTGCTTAACTTCAAAATGGCTGCACCTTACATTATTATATATATGTATATACCATCGAATCTTAAAAACAGGATAACTTTTGTCAGCTAATTGTCAAATTAGCTGACTCGTTTTTTTTTTATTAGTTTTTTATTTTTTAATTTATTTAAACTTTAATGCACAGTAAAATTCTATGTACATTTGGCGGACTTAACACCGAACGGTGTTCTCTATCAATTAACCATTGGGCAAACCAAGATATACGTAGGCGGTGCATTTTTGAACAGTGTTTTATGTACTCACGCCTTATTCAAATTCAAATTCAAATTCAAAAATCATTTATTCATGTAGGACATTTTAGCCGCTTATGAACGTCAAATTTTTACATTATACCTTAGACTGTACCTATTTAGCTAAATCTATTTTATTGTGATTGTAAATTGTCAGGACAAGACTTGTATGAAAGAAAATGTTTGAAAAATCGTACGTAAAGAATACAGCCGTACGAATCCGGAACAGGCTGCTAATTTTTTATATATAATTAATCAAACAATTTAATAATTTTTCATATACAAATCAATTTATTTGTATTCAATGTTACTCGATATAAACGTTCCATTATGATCTATAACATAATGAGACAGCCTAGACAGAGAATGCCAGGTACAATCCTTAATCTATGAAAGAAATACAGGTATCTGAAGCTTGTTACGCGAAAAATGTACATGTGACAAAAATACAAACCGAATTATAAGCATTTTTCTTTTGCAGAATTGAGTAAAATACAAAATTTGCTTATATTGCTCTTATAATAAAAATTATGCACAACACAGGTTAATAAATAAACGAGTTGCAGACGTCGGCAAAAAATGTTTATAATGCCATTTGTTATTTTTATTCATATGGAAGATTTCTGCATAATTAATTATCTCCACCTCTCCACCTATTTTACGTTAAATATTCGAAAGAAATTTACACTTATACGATGGTACAATTTATGATTATGATTTGATGGAATGAACTATTGCCGTCATCACAAACTTATTTAGGTGAGAATAAATAAATCTTTCATGGTCGTCGTGTCGTAAAATCTAAATAGTTTTGTAAAAATATTTCAGAAAATCTATGTAAAAATAAATATATCTTTTGTATTGTATTATATTATAAAATCTTTATTATACATACTTTACATTGGACACATTAAGAGATTTTTTATATCCATATTTTCTTAAAGTAGTTGAAATTGTCTGTCCATAAATTTACTGTCCTTATATATAAAAGATATAAAATATAATTATATAACATACATAAATCTTACACATCTAAATGAAGCGTCTAATGACAAAAAATATCCTAAAATAATTGGCTGAACTGTCATTTAATTAAATGTTCAAGTATTCAGTCATTCAGTCATTCAGTCATACATCATTATTACAACTCTAAAAATATATTAAAAATCATAAAACGATGTACAAGTTTAAAAGTATCATCTTAGATTACAAGTATAATGTAGTATGTACTATCGTTAATCCATAATTTAGATAGATATAAACAGATAAAACGGTGGTTTATCACAATTACAAAATTTATACAATTTTAAAAATATACACTAATAAATATAAATTGTTTTATTTTTAAAGTATATCATTTATAATTTCTAAAACTCTTCTAGTACTGACATCTATATAAATATCTCAATATCTCTTAATCTGACGTTTACATTATAATAATTAAGCAATCGTTCACTAGATGGCGATAAATTTATTTTAATGGATTCGCAACATATTCTTCTTTAATTTTTATCTAAATTTTTTTCCAATAAATAGGAATAATCAACTTGTTATACATTCATTCAACATTACCGTTAAAACACAAATATCACAGATGACAAAAAGTAACACGAATTATAAATATAAAACTAGTTTACATAAAGTGTGCTTAAAGTAATTAAGAACTTAATAAAAAATAATGATATTAGATATATAAATTAGTAATGCATTTCAGAAATTTTACACAGCCAACCTATATTTTATTTAATTATTCTACAGTTTGAGGATAGACAGGCAGCGACATCTATCTGACGTTAACATTTATTGTAATTACCCCGTTTGCTACAAAATCAGGTTGATTGATTCCATAGATGGCGTAAGATGTGGAATAGGCAGCAATTTATTGCATTACTCGTCGTTCATTTTCATTACAATTGCACAAGGCAGCTCAAGGTGAATCACCTGACTTAAACTCTTAAAGCAGATATCTTAAAATAACCAGCAAAAAATTGAATAGATAAATCACTATTGTATTTAACTTTATACTCTGAGTCAAATATTTAACTAATCTTATCAAAATTTGTATTCAAATAATATAGGTAGGTAGGTACTATGTAAAAAACACAAGTTTTTATAGTAGAATAATAAATATATTTTGAAGCAACAATTGACTGGTTTTGCTTAGACCAGCAACAATTTATTAAAATACAACGTGTAAAGCGAATTAAAACTGTTCTTATCTAAAATATGAATACCTATTTAATCCTTATACTCGTAAATATTTCGCTACTTTCGTTATCCTTCCAAGCAACTGTCGTAGACTAGCATTCATGGTCGTTTTACCATTTTATAAACTGTGGGAATGTCTTTTTCAGTGAAAAATATTAAAGCTTCATGGTCAAGTCACACTAAAAGCCGGTTCATACCGGCAAGGCTCGTGTCAGCTATCTCCGCTGGCACTGCGTACTCTACGAATTAACTTCTCAACTCTTTTGTATGGACTTTGACATATCTCTTGATTAGCGTCAATGAGATAGGGACCATCTGATTCTCTTTCTTCGGGGGTGTGAAGTCCGCTTGAATTATCTGTACCGACCACATTTATAAACGGTTGAATATCTTGAACAGCAGGTGCAGATATTGCTACCACCTTATTTCTATCCTCAGCAGCCATAACTTCCGCTTCTCTCTGTCTCAACCAGATTGGGGAGTTAACATAGACTTTCGGACGCTCTCTCAAAGCATTGCATCTCTCAAGCGCTGGTCTCCTCATTGGTGCTGGTGGCCTGTATGCAGCTGAAATAGGTACACCTCTGCCAATAATAGTATAGATCAGACCTTTTAAAGCTGCACGAAAGTCTTTCAAATGGTAAGCATACAACAATGGATTAATAGCGGAATTTAAATGGGAAAATATAATGCAAAAATATGTGAGCGTGTTCGGAATGTTCAGTTCTGGAACGAAGGCTTTAACAGCGTTCACAGTGTAAAGAGGTATCCAGCACAAGATAAAGAAGAAGACGATGATTGCAAGGTTCTGTGTGGCTTTCACTTCACGTTTCTGCGTTGGTCCCAGTACTCGAAGCATGGTGCCTCTTCCATGACTACCATTCACTGTCACCACCTCACTTAGCTGAAAAGAAATAAGTGGCATATCATTAAGAATGTTAAGAAAACATAGCTAAAGAAGAATTAGATTAAGGAAAAATGTATATAAACATAGATGCTTATGGGAATGTTATATTTTCGTATTTATTTTCTTCAAACGCTAGTAAAAATAGTAAAGTCAAATTTAATATATTAATAAGATTTTCTACGCAGCCCGACTAAATGACCATTATAGGCTATCCATTGACGCCTGCAATATCAAGAATGTTACATGCGCATTGCCGACCCTAAGCAAATGTCTCTTTTTTTAAGAGCTTCTTCCACATCCTGAGCACTCGCAAGAGGAGACCTCTCTGAAACCGCACTGTACGCGACCATTTAGGTTCTAGCATGTGAGTATGAATTCCCTGTCAAGCGCAAACGGTGCAATGATAAAAAGTAGATGTAAAAATTATTTCAAACCGTTCTTCAAAACATAATCCGTTATATATACATACAAGCTGTAAAACACACAATGTTATTACCTGTTTTACAACCACTCGATAAATGTGAGCATAAAACGCTGCCAGGAGCACGCTAGGAGTGACTATGGTCGCGAAGTACAGGAACAGAAGGTAATTGTAGTCCATAACTTCGACGAAGTAGCAGCCTGGCGCTGCCTCCACGTCAGCGTGCCAGCCGAACAATGGTAGCAGACCAACGCAGACACCCGCTATCCAGCACACCGATATTATAACTGAAACGAACAAAACATTATTTTATATTTATTTAAGAAATTTAAAAAAGAAGGATGATTTCAAGTCTACAGATTATGACTGATCATGATCAATGATTCATCATTTCAGCCGTTAACTGTCCACTGCTGAACATGCGCTGCGCTGCGCTTGGCAGGCAGGTTAGCAACCGCAGTTAGGCTTTTAGAAATGTTTTAAAAAGGACGCTGCTCTATCATTAAGGTCTTTTATTCGCCTCTTACGACACTCACAGAAAAGGAAGGAGTGGCTTATTCTTTACCGGAATCTCACAGCAAATGACTGATAATTAATATTTAATGGTCGCGTCGCTAAATAAATAGGGCTTTAATAATTTAAATTTAGGTATAATGGCGTGACTCCCTCTATAGCATTTTTTAATATTATAGCTATTTATTTATTTTATTTAATACAGATAGTTAACGGTGTATTAGAAATAGTAATACAAATACTTTAATAATTTTATTTATTTGCATTATAATGCTCCCAATTTTTTTTTTTTTATGAAACTTGAAATAATAAACAAGCTAACGAGGCGTCTGGTGGAATGTGATAACCGTCGTCTATAGACATGAACAAAAATACGGACATTACAGAATACAATGTGTCATTCATAGTGCATTGTCTGTCATTCATTTATTTATTTTATTTATTTAACACTTTATTGCACCAACATAACATGATTTGTTAAAACAATTTTCAATACGTATAGTGTAGTACAAAAGGCGGTCTTATTGCTAAGCAATCTCTTCCAGACAACCTTTGGGTAGAAAGGATTAAAGCATAAGTAGGTAGGTGGCGCGTTAAAAAAGATAGACTTGTAAAAAATAATATTTATGACAGCATAGTCATATACATACATAAATAAACACATACAACCAAACATATACATATATATACAAACACATACACATATAAATATATATACATACACATACACATATAAATATATATACATACATATACATATATACGCATAAATACATACAAATATACCATATTAATACACATATATATAACACACACAAAACTGGAAATACGTAGGACTAAGTGATTATAAGGATAGGTAGTGGGCTTTAACTAAGTTTTTAAAAATGGGCAACGATTGAGCGCACCGTATAGAGGTAGGGAGTGAGTTCCACAAACGAACTGCTTGCACGGAAAAGGATTTGGAGTAAAAACAGGAAGAATGGGTAGGAATTATGAGTTGGAGGTTGTCAGTACTACGTAAAGAATAAGAATTAGAATTGCTCTCTCCAAGAAACATAAAACGTTCTTTTAAATAATGAGGTGTAACTGGATTAAAGAGAATTGAGTAAAGAAGGGAAAGGATGTGCCAGTTACGACGAAGACGGATAGAGAGCCACTTGAGCCGTGTACGATATTGGGATACATGGTCATATTTGCGAAGTCCAAATATGAACCGTATACATAAATTTTGAAGACGCTCAAGTTTATTTAACTGCTCTTCAGTGACATTTGAATAACAAGAATCGGCGTAGTCAAGGATGGGGAGGAGCAATGTATGAGCAAGCGCAATTTTGGTATCCATAGGAAGAACCTTACGCAACCTGTAAAGGGATCCAGTTGCCGCAAACATCCTCCTGCTAATCTCAGCAATCTGAGGTGACCAGGATAAAGTACTATCAAAACAAATGCCGAGATTTTTAACGCGGTCGCTGTAGTTTAACTTCATTCCATTAAAAACTACAGAAGGAAGGTCATTCAAAGCCATTCTGGAAATGTAACTAGGGCTACCTATGATTATAACCTGGGTCTTGGTCGGATTTACAGCAAGACCATAGGATTTGCTCCAGACAGATATACGTTCAAGGTCTTCGTTTATTGTATTTACTGCAACAGAAATATTAATAAGAGGAGCCCGGCAGTAAATTTGAAGGTCGTCTGCATAAAGATGGTAGGAAGACCGAAGCTGAGACGTGATATTGTTGATAAATAAGGCAAATAAAAGAGGAGATAAGACGCCACCCTGGGGCACGCCCGCAGATGTACTGCACCAAGATGACAAAGAGTCGTTGATACGAATACGCTGCCGACGTCCAACCAGGTAACTACGAAACCATTCAATTGCCGTTGGAGATATGTTGAGAGAAGTCATCAGTTGCAACAAAATGTCGAAATCGACGGTATTAAAAGCATTACTGAAATCTAATAATGTTAAAACTGTCAGCTCTGAGCTATCCATTCCGAAACGGATATCATCAGAGATCTTTACAAGAGCAGTAGTCGTGCTGTGACCTGCGCGGAAACCAGATTGCAGAGGATTAAGAAGGTTATTTTTGGACAGAAACAAGTTGAGTTGCTGATGTACTAACTTTTCCAGAGCTTTGGAAAGGAAGGGAAGAATGGATATAGGTCGATAATCGGAAAAAACTGTGGGGATATTTTTTTTAGGTAGGGGGATAATAAAGGCTTCTTTCCAGATATGAGGAAAAATACCTGAGGATAATGAATTATTAAAGAGAAAAGTAATAGTTGGCAACAGGATATCAAGGATAGGCATGATCATAGCACGACTGATGTTGTCAGTACCCAGAGCATTAGAAGATATTGACAGTAAGCTTCTCTCAACATCACAATCGGACAATTGTCCGAAAACAAAAGGAGTGTAATCAGGAGTTGGAAGCGAAGAAAGATAATACAGTGTTTTTAATTTGTCATTAGGAACAACAATAGAAGAGGAACAAAAATGTCTATTAAGGTTCTCAATATCAATACTAGTGGAACTCTCATTGTGTTTTTTTCCAACTCCTAAAGATTTAAGAAATTTCCAGACTTTTGCTGGATCTCCATTCTCAACAGATTTATGGATGTGGCGACGTTGGGCCTCCCTACACATCTTATTGCAGAGATTTCTGATGCGCACGTAGTTGTCACGATATCTGTCTGGGTCTTTTTTAAATTTAGTTTTAGCATTATTTTTCTTGTTTATGATAGCTCTAATATCCTCAGTGAGCCAGGGCGCAGGCAGATGTCTGACTCTGACGGGACGGATTGGGGCATGCCGATCATAAAGGTCAAGAACGAGTTGATTAAATTCTTGTATCTGTAAGTTTACACAACCTATATTTGCAATAGATGACCAGTCACACTCCGATGCATCTTTTCGCAAACGGTCCATGTCAATGGCCCCAAAATTGCGCTGCATGAGGATTCTACGCTTTAATTTAGGAGGACGGATTTTATAGGAAAGGTATAAGAGATTATGAAAGGAAAAAGCATCAGCGGTGTGCTGACCAAACTTGGAAACATGTTCGGGAGAAGATACAAGGATTAGGTCAAGTAAGGAAGGATTGCAATTCGGAAAAAAATGGGTTGCTTGGAGAGGCAAAATATTTAAATTACAAGCACTGGCAACAGACTTAAGACGGTAAGCTCGGCTATCATTTTTCAACAGACAGGTGTTAAAATCACCCATGATGATCGTGTGATTGAAAGATGGGGTAAGGTTTTCGAGAAGATATTCAAAAGAGGAAAAGTAATCTACAGAAGAGGAAGGGCTATAGAAAACACCTAGAAGGACTTTGAAGTGGGATAAGGTGATTTCAAGAAAAAGGAATTCCGCTTCATTAGAGGAGTTAGAGGAACTAACGATATTAAATGGTATATGAGTACGAAGATATATGGCAACACCACCACCACCTCTACCGGTGCGATCACAGCGAATAAGATGGAAACCAGGAAGGGAGTAAGCGATAGAAGGAAGACAAGGTTTCAGCCAAGACTCCGACACAAATATAGCATGAATGTTGTTATCAGTAAATGAGTCTAACATGTCAGAAAAATGGGCAGGAATACTTTGAGCATTAATATGTACTGCATTGAAATTTTTACTACATCCGAAAATGTAGTATGCAAAGTTTCGTCAAGAGGAATGTTAATGCTATGAAAACTGTCATCACTAGAAGAGGAAGAGGAGGAAACTGATATAGAAATATCATTTATATCATTGTCCATAAAATGTGTGTGATATATAATTAATAAACAAATATATTATTTATATAATAATAAATATCGTATAAAATACGAGTATATAACGTTAAAACATCTACCCGCCAGTGGTTTGTCAAAATTGGTATACAATAAACAACAAATATTCATAAATAAAGCAAATATTGAAAACACATTATCACAACAGAAAGAAGAAAAAAAAAGGAAGGAAAAAAAAAATACATAATTGTTCAGTTAAAATGGAGTACACAGGAATAAATTAAATACAAGTGGGCCCGGATACGTACACCCCGCATGCAGTCATTTGTAGTAATATTAATAGTATATTAAATATCATTCTATATTTTGGCTGTTAAACCTATTCTATAAACTTCTATAAATTAGATAAAAACTAATTATTGCATGTAACGGAATACATAAAAAAAAATAACTACACAAAATTAATCAGTACTGGCAATAATACACACTCAAAATCTACCTGCTAATTTCTAATAATTCGGTCTGTTATTCTATCTATACCCAGTTTCATTAAATATTCATTACATCTGACAGTTGAAATTACGGAGCTAAATAAATACAAGTAAACTTCTAGCGGCATTTGATGCAACAAATTTGTAAAATATTACAAGTGTTTTGTTGTGTATAATACAAAAATGTGAATGAAAAGGATTTAATATAAGTATAAAGATACAATGAGAATGAGCCAGATTAGTAGTTAGTGAAAATTGACAGATTTGATGTTACATTGCTTAGCACTTAGTAAATAATAAAAAAAAACAACAAGATTATCACTATTAAGCACAGAATAATGTAAAATATGGATATATGAAATTATAGTATAAATAAATAGGGCCAGCCATAAATAAAGTCATGAAATAAATAACCATCTACCAGCAGAGCGAAAATAACCAAACACCCACTTACAAAAAAAAAAAAAAAAACTAAATTAATTAAAATATTAACTTATACAATTCTAAATTCTTTTGGTAACACGCTTAGTGCGACTCAATCC